ACTGTAAATACCCCAAGAGTGATTTCCCCAAAGAAGAGTTGGTGGGGGGGGGGGGGGGAAACTAAAAAAAAAAAGTCGTAAAAATTGTCCCGCATGGCGATCTCTGAAAAAAAAAAAAGCCAAGGGGGAGAAACAAAGGCTCTGACCTTCCCTGTCACCAGAAGACCTGCAATAGCACACTTTTGAATGCCGAGTGTATGCGTGACCGCCTTGTCAGCAAGCGCGAATGAAGAACGAGCGAAGCAAAGGAGGGGAAACCAAACCAAAAAAAAAAAAAAAAAAAAAAAAAAAAAAAGCCGCCAATGTTGCTTCATACGATTTTGAACTTGGCCCACGTTTTTTTTTTTTTTTTTTGTCTATGTTGCTTTTGGTTTACTCGCGCCGCGCAACTGTCCTTCGAAAGGGCCGAAACAACGAGCTTGAGCGCAACTAGGAGGCACTCGAGCACTGACTGACCGAGGACGTCGGCAAACAAGCGAGTAGGGGACAGGAAGGAGGAAACAAAAAAAAAAAAAAAAAAAAGTTGCTTTTTCGTCGTTTTGGCTACAAAGCCAGCCAGCCGCCTGGAGCTGGGATTTCAGCACCAAGAGGCAAGTGCTGCTGATACTAACACGGCAAACGCGAGCAGTGTCACAGGCGCGGCACAGAAGCAGGAACAGAAGCCTCGTGAAGCAGAGAAGAAGAAGAAAAAAAAAGCGAAAAAAGCGAAAAAAAAAAAGCGAAAAAAAAAAAGCGAAAAAAAAAAACGAAAACGAGCGATTTTTCCTTACATTGTTTCTGGTGTATGGATGAGGAGAGAGCGATCGACCAAAACGAGCGACAATCTCAAGAAAGACGCAGAATAACAACGACTAAGTCAGATCAGAGTTGCATTCATGGAAGAAGGCTGACATTCAGACTGGATTGCATTTCCTGCGATTTTGCATGGATTTTGCACAGATTTTGAGATTCTCCCTTCCTTTCCCTTCCCTTCCTCCCTCCTTCCCTATGAGACAAAGGTTTTTGTATTCGTTTTGAAGCTTGTTTCAACCGGTAGAGAGAACGATCAATGGAATGAGGCTGACCAGGCCGAGGGGGACCAGAATCGCGGGAGTTTGATTGTCTGTTTACTTTAATTTCGACAGCTCTGCGAGTTTGTCAGGCTGCAGGAAGACATCAATGCGCAGAATGAAGCATGGCAAAGCGACTCTCAGTCCATTCTGTTCGGTTTTTGTTGAAACGGTAACAGAAAAAAACCTAGTAACAAGAAACGACTTGGTCGCTAATGCAAAAGAGCAGCCAAATGCAAAAAACAAAAACGGCAACAACGGACGCTTGGGTGGGAGGGGATGCTGCGCTTGGCCACCTGTGCCCACCGGATGGAATGGGACTGGTGCTGTTTGATTCGTTGAAGTGAAGGGGGTGGATGGGTGGGGTTGCGCTGGAGTGGAGAGTGGAGAAGGGAGAACGAGACGGAAAAAAGTAGGACCCGGCGCCATTGGTACAGCAGAGGCGAGCTCAGGTTCTGTCGCTCCTGCGTGGAGACCCCAGCAGGCAACGCGGAGACAAGAACTTGCGTCTCCCGACGGCGTTTTGTGCGTTGCCGTGGTGGTGGTGGGGAGGGGGGCTTTCAATGAAAAGGAGCACGCAATGCTAGCTTTTCTCATGTTCATTACCATTTGAGCCGCTCTGCTCGCTCGCCCCCCTCGTTCAACGACCCCTTCTTCGACATTGTCCCTGCAACAACGACTCCTCTTTTGTCGCTGAGCGCATTCGTTGCTTGATGAAGGTGGCTGGGCATGCGACAAGCGCCGAGCGAAAGCAAAAAGGCGCTCAAAGGCGCGTGCGAACGTTGCGTCGCTCGCTCAGTCCTGCACTCGCTCGCTCGCTTCGATGCGTCTGCATTATCGCAAAGGGACGGTGCACTGCACGTTCATCAGTGGGCGACTGCTGGGATGACGCTCGCGTTAGCCTCTTTTTTCCCTCTCCTCCTTCCTTCGCCTTTGAGCTTTGAGGCTTTCCTCCCTCGATCGCACTCTGCTCGCCTCGTTTGGCTGCTTGGAGATCCAGTGAGAATGGCACCATCATCCTCATCACCATTCTCATGGCCCTCGTGTGTGGTTGCATGCGCTGCTCTGTCTGGTTCTGTTACTCATCATTTTCCCGCCATTTTTCGCTCCTTCGTTTCCATGTTTTGCTTCGCCTCGTTCATGATCTCGCTGGCACCGTTATCTACTTGCTGGAACCCCGTTTTGGATTGCAGCACTGGTCGAGTCGGTTTGAACCATCCCTCTTTCAGGCTCTCAAGTGACGCTCAAGCAACCCCGTTTGTTTTTCTGAGGCTCAGTCTCAGTCTCAGCCTCAGCCAATCCTTCGTCCGTTCCGTTGGGTCTCTGGGCTCTCTCGTGACCGCGACGTGAAATCTATCAATTTTGGTCTCCTCGGTGTAAAGCGTCCCATACTCCAAGTTGTAATAGTAGTGGTTGCCCGTCATGACCGAACCAGCGTCGAGACGGCCAACAACAACCCAGCCACAGCCGCTGCAACCGCCATTACCACATCAACAAACACAGCAGCAACAGCAGCAGCAACAACAGCAACAACAACAACCAGCAACATCCGCGTCCGTCAATGGCGTCGTGACGCCTGCAACGCCTGCCACGCCTGCCACTCCACACTCGCCCCCGGCAGTCCACAAGCGTTTTTCAGTTCTTGCGGTTCAGGAAGACGCCTCCGCGTCACCCTCGCATACAGGTAGCGCCACGGAATTGCCTACTCTGGTTCCAGGCGCTTCTTCGACGTCGTTTGCAAGCGTCTCGTCTCCAGCACTGTCAGCAACGCCTGCCGCCTCGACTGCCGCTGTGCCTGCTGCCATCGCAAAGTCTCGACGGTTTGTAGTGGAGCCGGTTTCCACAAACATGGCTTCGGACGACGCCGTCGCCGCTATGGTTTCGCCGCGCAGCGGCCAACACAGCAGCGGTCCAGCCACTGGTGCTAGCTCCCCCGTGTCCCCACATATCGAGCACGACATGAGCCACCCAGGCAGCGGTGTCACATCCCCAAACATTCCGCAGCAACCTGCGCAAGCACCATTCGAGGGCGGCAAGCGAAGTCGTTTCGTCGTCAGCAAAGCCCTCGAAGGCTCGCAGCAGCCGCCAGGGAGCGCCCTCTCCCCAACATCGTCCTCATCGTCGTCTCCCGTCCCAGGCCCAACCGCGCAGCAGCAGCTGTCTCAACCGTCGAGTGGACAGCCTTCACCGTCTCACCAACAAGCACACCAACCACCAGCAGCTGCTTCTTCCTCTTCTTCATCTTCTTCCACCACCACCACCACCACCACCACCACCTCTGCCAATCCTGCCCTACCACCCCAGCAATCACAACAGTCTCAACCGCCCGTGCGGCGCAATCGCTTTGACGTGAGCGATGCGCCCGACGCCAACGGTGGCCATTCGGACGACGAAGGCGAACTGACTGGACGAACCGCAACCTTTTCGCCGCCTGCCTCCACGACGCCAGTGCAAGCACCATCGCCTGCCGCTGGGGCTGCAGTCTCCTCCAAGCATGATCGCTCGCAACGGACTTCTGTGCAGGGCGACCCCTCGCGCTCTCGCCCCCACTCGTCCGTCAATGAAGCCCATCCAGATGACGAGGGGCTGTACACTGTCGCCCACGGCACCCCGAAAAGCAAGCCTGCGCCCGCTCAGCCCGTTGCAACTGCTCACGGCACGTCCGGAGCTGCTGCTGCTGCTGGTGCTGCTGCCCCTCATGCTTCTGGGCGGACGTCGGCCAAACCCATCCCGCTGCAGCACTCGCAACACGGCCACCAACCTGGATCCGCTGTCCATTCCGCCTCTGTCGTGTCCTCTCCCTTCTTTACCTTCACTGGCAACTCGTCTCTGACTGGTAGTGTGCAGACAAGTCGCGCGTCGTCCCCAACCAACGCGGCTCCGTCTTTTCACGGATCGCGAGCTCTTGAATCTGACGATGAAAGCTCGGAAACAGAGGGTGATTCCAGCGTCGCGCGCCCGGCTGGTCGGCGCTTCCAGGTGAGCACCGTGCCCGTCCCAAGCTCCAATTCTGGTTTGGTCATGGCTCCCACCAAGCGAGACAAGTTGTTGTTGGACAAGACCGCTGGTGGGGTGGCGGAAATGCCTTTGTCGGCCAGCTCGAGTGGGTCGTCGATCGGATCCGTCCCTGCCGCCGCCCACGCGCATCTAGACCACCAGAGTCTCGGATCCGCGCCGTCAAGCGCCGTCGCCAGTTCCCGTCGCTCGCGCTTCCAAGTCAGCGACGTGAATGTCCCTGCAGGCAACCGATCCACAGGCTTCAAGGCGTCGCATCCGCTGTTGTATCGTCGTGGTCGCTTCACTGTCAAGGACATTGCAGAACGACCAAACGCGTCCTCCATGCATCGTATCGAGTCCATTCCCAGCGCCATGTCTGCTGCTGCTGGTGGTGCTGGAGCTGTGGGTGCTGGCGGTAGCAGCGCGCAGCAAGCAGCCGTCACCGCGGCAGCCGGATCAACGCCTGGCCTGCATCGATCTGCCTCTCTCAAAGTCAACAAAACAACGGCGTCCGGCAGCATTAATTCAAGTAGCAGTACGCGTCACGGCGCTGAGAGCGACGCCGCCACCGAGCAGACGGACTCCAGCGGCAAGACGCGAGGGCGGAGAGCGACCAATCGCGAGCGATCTGGCTCGGCCTCGCAAATCCTCGAAGATGCTGACAGCGAGGGTGCTCCCCAAAACTACCCTGGCCAATGGTCTGCCAGCACTTCTGCATTTTCGTCCACCGCTGCAATGGTCTCTCCAAGCTCTCTGGTAACACCGCCGGTTGCTGGCAGCGGCACATCAACCGTCCCGGCTGTTCCTGTGGGCGCCTCTCACGCCGGTGGTATCCCAGCGCCTGCTGCTGTTGCTGCAGGGTCTGCTCCGTTGCACACTTCTCATTCACACGCGAGCCAGCAGCAACAGCAACAGCAACAGCAGCAACAAAAGCAGGCGGCTTCCGCTCAAGTTCATCAAAAGTTGGATCAGCTGCTGGTCTTTGGCCAAAATCAGCAACGGTTGATGAACAAGCTTGTCAATTACCTGGTCAAGTCGGGCACTCTACCAAGTGCTACGGCCGGCTCAAGTTCGGCCCAAGCGTCTGGCCCAACCCCTTCGCACCCGCCGACAGCCGATGGAGTACTGGAAAGCATCGTCGGCTTGGCTACAGGCACACATCCCTCCACGCCACTGGATGCGCATGCTCTGGTGGAGATGCCTCGGTAAGCATGTGATTCTGTCGGAAACGGTTGCTTTTTTGTTGTTGTTGTTCCCTGCTCTCATCATTTTGCTCGATGGTACGCGCGCTGCTGCAGGTCCATGCCGCACACAACATCCGATCAAAATTTGAAACATCTTGGCGAGATGGTAAGTGTCTTTTGTTGTTGTTGTTGTCTCATCCTGTTTGTTCACCAACCAACCAACAATGAAACAAACCGTGCCTTCTTGCTTTGTAGGAGGAGCTTCGGCGATCGCTTGCGATAATGAAGCTCGAGAATGACCGACTTCGAGAAGAGAATGCTCAGCTTCGCTTGCAGTTGACGTCGTCTTTGACGGCAACCCCTTCTTCGGCGGCTTCTACTGGGCCCACTCAGCCCCTGCCATCTACCACTCTCTGATATGCCCTTGCGACGCATAGCTTGTGTTTGGCAGTCGCTGAGAGTGTTCTGATTTTTTTTAAATTGTCCCATTTTCCCTCTTCCCCCTCCCCCGTCCCTTCCCTTCCCTTTCCCTCACTCGCGTGTTACTTTTGTTTTTAGTCCACCATTGATAATCGCTTTTTTTCTCATCTTGGCCATTCTTCAACATAAAGCCGTTCAGTTCAGTTCAGTCAGTTTTCCAAATCCAATTCTTTCTCCGTTCAACGGTTCGCTTCCGGTCTGACATGAACCACCTCTGCTACCAGCTCTTCTCGTGCTTTGGCGGGCCGCCGGACGACCGCGACAACATCATTGCAGCCACTGCAGCAGCCAACGCGCGGCAGAGCAACGCAGCGGCAGGAGCGAGTGGGGACGGCCGGCCAGAGGTCCTGCTCGATTCCCGTCATATGGGTAAGCTCCGGCCAGAGTCTCAGTCCCGAGTCTGATATCATTTTTGACCTGCACTCTGTGTACAGCCCCGGATTGCGTGATTGTCAAGGCAGGCAAGCGATTGTGCGGCAGCGGCGCCGTTCTCGCAACTGCTCCGCTCGCTCAAGACAAGTCGTACTTTGAGGTCAAGTTGCAAGCCGCAGGTAACGTGCTTTTTGTTTTGGGGGGGGGGTTGTTTGTCGTTTACTGAGGCCAACCATGTATGGCGTTATGACGACAACGGTGGAAGGTCGCCTTGGCTCGCGCGTTGCTTTGAGTGCCACATTGGCAGATTGGAAATTGGCTCGACGATGACCGATTTTGTTCTGAGATTTGACTTTCACTCTCACTATGATGACCACTACTGATGCTGATGCTGCTATATTTTTGTGTGACTTGGCTGGAACTAGGCCGCTGGGGCGTCGGTGTGGCCTCGCGAAAGGAGGATTTGGCTGCAGTTCCATTGGGAAACGAGAACAGCTGGGTTTTGCGCAGCGACTCGACAACATGGCACAAGCAACAGCTGGGCTCGGTCGATGTCAAATTCGAGGAGGGCGACGTGCTGGTAAGGGGGGGGGGAGTTGCCAGAGGTTGCGGCCTTTTTGAGCTGCAGTCCCAAAGCTCAAATTTCCGTTTGTTTTTGATCTTGCCGTCGCTTGACCACCATGCACAGGGCTTCTCGTACGATCACGTGGAGCTTAATATTTTCCACAATGGCAAGGCCCTCAACTGCCCAATTATTGGTGTTCGTGGCACAGTTTATCCGGCGTTCTACGGTAAGCTTTTTGACGGAGTCCACTCGTCCGTTCAAGCAGCGCTCTTGTTGTTGTGTTTTCGTACTCATCATCCTCTGATCATTTTGTTGTGTCCTCACTCTCACTTTTACAGTCGACGAAGGCGCCATTCTGGACGTCATTTTCCACACGTTCGTGCACACGCCACCAACTGGGTTTACAGAGATCATGCTTGAAAAGAATATTCTTTAATCGGAGCCATCAAACACTGCCGCTTGATTTAATCTTCCACTGTCAATACATAGAGCAGGGTAAACAAACAAATGAGTATCTGTTTTCGGTTTTGTTCAAACACGACAAATTTTCCGCTCTCTCCGGAGCCCCAGTTCCATCCGTTGCACTTACTAGGTACACCATCGATGTCGTCCAAGGGCTCGCCATCAATGTCGTCCAAGGGCTCTCCGTCGAGATCGGCAACGTTGACTTCTGGCGCGGCCAAGACTGGTCGCCAGTTGTTGGTTGTTTTGGTGATGCCGCCGCCGGCCTCGGCCTTGGAGGCTGACGTTTGAATAGGCTGCTGGGGTGCTGAGGGGTTGGCAATGGTGAAAAGGGCGCCAGCGGTCGCGTGGGTCTTGGGAGCGGCCAAAAAGGCGGCGCGCAGACTGGCGAGAAACTCTGGCACAAACAACGAGCGTTCTTCCCATGCTCGAAAAGCCGCCATGACTTGACTCTGTTTCATGGTACAAGAGGATGACGCAGAAGGTTGAGAAAAACACTGCCCGCGGCAGCACACATATGATGAGACGTTCGACAAATGGTAACTCACCTTGAACTGCTCGGCACGAATGCGACCTACAATGGCTCGATAGGTCGCTGCAAGGTGCGGAACGATTTCAGGAAGCTTCTGTTCAAACCTGTGTAGCACATGCCAGCCGCCGCGGCAGTCAAGGATGAGTTGAGGAAAACGACACAAACGAAAAGGCGGCAAAAACCAATACCTTCGTCGATACTGACTCGCGTTCGGTACTGAAGCGAGACTGTTGTGGAGAATATCCGAAATGACATAAAAGCGTGCAATCTTAACGTTGAGCGGGGTCTCAATCAAGGACAGCGCGTCCACAATGCAATCCACAATCTCGTCTGCCGCTGAAGCGTGGGAGAGCGCAAAAATCATCAGATCGGCAATGCGCGTCGCTTCGAGGTTGACGCGATGGAGCAGAAACTCGAGCTCCTCCGCCTCTGCGTCAGTCATGTGCTTGGAGGTGCTAATCGCAGCAACGGACATGGCTCCCGTGAGCTGGGCCGGCTGCCGTGTTGGATCATGGTCGCGCTCCGTGCGAGCAGGCTTCTGGCTCGTGCGATCGAGACGACGGTGCCGCCCAGCAGTGCCTGGCGCGGGATGTGGCGGAGGGACCCACCACGAGCCATTCTGAAACATTCTAAACTCTTCAGTGGACCAGCCATCGCGACGGTGGTCGCCTTGCAGCACTGAAAACAGCTTCCACCGATAATACACGTGCTCCTCCGACAGGAAGTCGGTCAAAAAGCGGAATTGCTCTGCGTTTTCGCCTTGCGACTCGCGATCAATGATATGCGCCTCAAACGCGGGTCCGTACTGGACCACAAATTCAATCACGCGATGAATCAGACGGAGCACTGTCGCGTTACTTGGGATGACAACTTGGACTTGCGCAGTCAGCACGGCAGGATCAACGTCTGGGTCGTTGCCCTGGGACGATGGCGGAGGGACGGAAGCGCCAGCACGCGTGGTGCGAGGCTGTGCGTTGAAGGGCAACTTCGGAACGCTTGCCGCCGTGTGGACATACACGGGGTTGGCAGGAATGGCAATGGCCTTGCTCCAGCCACCGCGAATCTCCATTCCGTTCAGCACCATCCCGTGCGTTTGCTCGAGTGCTTTCTCTGCGGCTTGGCGCGTCATGAACGCAACAAACCCACTGTTGCGACCACGCCTGACTTGGTCCTCGGAGCGAGGCCACATGATTTTCACGCTGGCAAGTGGGCCGATGGGACCAAATGTCATGCACAGCAACTCCTCGTCCACCGTTGGGTGGAGATTGCTCAGGAAGATGTTCGTGGTGGTCGGATCCCCCGTGTCGAACGAGCCGCCGCGCGTCGGGAAGACATCGTCGTCTGCGTCACTCTTGCTGCTGCTTGCCGACGGTCGCGATCCGAGAATGCTTGCTGCCTCGCGCTGCTTGTTGCGGTCGTCGCGAATCTCTTGCTTTTGTCGGAGTTCCTCTTTGAAAAGCTCAAGGTTGCTCTTCTTCTTTTGTTTGTCCTTCTTCTTGGGTTGCGGCTCCTCCTCCTCCGCGGCCGCCCCGTCGTCAAAAACAGATGTGGCACGCAACGTCGGCGGCTGAGAAGACGGAGCCCGCGCCTTTGGTTGCGAGAGACTTTCCATTTGCTGCTGCATCTCTTCGTATGCTTGGTCGTCCACTGCCGCTGCCAGCTTTGTGCGGTCGAACGTTGTGCTCTTGCTTGCAGGAGTGTCTGAGGATGGTTTGGCTATCAAGGGAGCGGATATCGCGATGAGATGTGCTGTTCCTGCCATGGTATATCTCTACCCGAAAGGAATCATCCAACGTCCTCCACAAAAGCATGACAATACCTGCAGACGGCAATGTCGGGGCTTCAGTGGAGCGTCCGTGTTGAACAAAGCCAGCGCTCACGAACGATGAACCGCGGCTACCACCGCTCTTGGAATCTCTTCCAGACGGTGGATTCATAAAGGACGAGACAAATTCTTCGTACACGCGTGCTGCTTCCAGTTCAGTAGCCTAAAGAAGAGAAACAAGAGGAGAAGCCAGCGACGTTGAGCTGCCGATCGTTGCAAAAAGGGGAGCGCTGCAAATCGCGACGTAAAGGCAACAGCAAAGCAAAAGCAAAAAGTACCTTTTTGCGAGCATCCTCCTCTGCTTTCCGCTTTGCATACGGAGTAACTGTTTGCTGGCCAACAGCAAAGGTAGCGAGCTTGGCAGCGGAAATGCGTTGCTGTGTTGAAACATCCAAAGCGCAACAGTCAGTCCCCCGCAGAGCTCCCATTCTCCAGAAATATATTCGACCAATGACATGTAGATCTCAGCTCAAACTCAGCTTTGATGAGTGCATCGATCGTCTGTCTACCTTAATGCTGGCTTCGAGCTGGGCCTCGTCCATTGCTGGGGCTTCTGTCGCCGCTGCAGCCGCCTCGTCCAGCCCTTGTTGCTCGTTCAGCCGCTCTTGCATCTCACGAGCACGCTCTCGCTCTTGTTGTATGTAGCGGGATGCCGTCGAGACGTTTCGCGCGATCGGTCGCTCTCTGTCTCTGTCTCGGTCTCTGTCTCGGTCTTTGTCTCGGTCCCGGTCTCGGTAATCTCGGTCTCGGTCGCGATCTCGATCTCTAAAGTCTCGGTCTCGATCATGAGGTCTTCGATCTCGATAGTCGCGGTCGCGATCTCGGTCTCGGTCGCGATTGTCCCAGTGGCTCGGACTCGGACTCCTGCTGCTGCTGCTGCGATTCATGCTGCGATTCCAGCGGTCTGGACTGCGACTTCGTGACCGCGAACGCGAGCGAGAACGAGAGCGAGAGCGAGAACGAGACCGGGAACGAGACCGGGAACGATCTCGCTGCGGCTGTTGCTGCATCTGACAGGACTATGGAACGAATGAAACGATGAAGATTGTTGGAGAAGAACGACTGGGCTCACGGCTTTTGTTGACTCTCATCCATTCTCAAAGCATGATGACGCGATTAAAGGCAACAGAGAGCAAAAAGGCTCTTGCATGAACAAGACAAATCGCCTCAAGCAGACGACAGCAGCGCGAGCAGAATCACTTCTTCTTCTCAAGGGCCGCAATCTCGGCGCGGAGAGCGGCTTCAGTGCCGAGCTTTTCCAACTACCGCGTTAAGCAACCAAATAGAGAAGGTGTCAGTAAAGGTCCAGGACGATGAATGGCAAAAAAGACAACCGAGCTAGCTCCAAGAAACGCACCTGATTCAACTCGAGCTTCTTGCCTGCCGCCTGAGCAGCTTTCAAGTCCTCAACGGCACGGAGCTTCTTGACCAAGTTGCGGATTTTCTTCTCGGTCTCGGAGAGATCGCTGGTGGAGACCGGTGCTGCGGCTGCGGCAACGGGCGCGGCGGCCACCTCAGGAGCAGGTGCGGGTGCAGGCGCAGCAGTTGCTTCAGCAGCGGTCTCCTCGTCATCCTCAGCACCATCGCCCGCCTTGTTCTTGGCCTTCGACTCGCGCTTCTTCTTGTTCTTGAGGGCGGCTTTGGACAGCTTGGAGGCTACAGAATGGAACATGCGCGCAAGATTAGCCCTCGATTCAAGCCCTTCCTTCTCTCTGCGTCTACATCCATGCGAATACTTGCCATCAACCGCCTCAGAAGCTGGCTTGCTCAAGTCTTTGGGTGCCTCATCCTCGTCGTGCTGCAACAAGGCGACCATCAACAAGTCAGGCACAACGCTGTCTCAAATCATTCGCTCGCCATCGTTCTCAGTCCCAGACAACGACTACATACCAGCTTGAAAGCAGGCTGGGCATTCACCTTTCCACGCAAATGGGGAGGAATGTAAGCGGCTGCCATCCCAATCACAAAAACAAACCATCCAAAACAAGCAATAATGAGCGTCAACCGAAAAATCCCTCCCTTGCCTGCTCGCGCTGAAACGACTCGCATACCCTTTGGTGGTGCGGAGGTCGATGCACTATCTGATGCGGGCAGAGGAGCAACCACAGCCTTGGCCGGGAAGGGGTTTGGTGAGAACGGGCGGGCCTTGACCTCCCAAAGCTCTTGGAAGTCTTGCTGGAGCACAAGCGTCCCAGTGTAGTGCGTAATCTTGAACTGATTGCCAACGCGCAGACGAGGCGCGGTGGTGGCTGTCAAGATGTGCTCGCCATCAGGCATCCACTCAAAGCTGGTCGAGTCGGCAGCTTGGGGCTTGCACACCATTTTGAGATTCTTGCGATCCCACATTTCCTGAATCACAAAGAGAAGTCACAAAAATATCGACGCAAAATCAAGGTGAGAGACGAGGGTTGGTGGGTGTCTGTGACTCTGGGTCGTAATTGTGACGCACCATGTAGCCGCGCAAGTTGCCAAAGCCGGCAATGCAGAGAATGTGTCCTTGGGGCGAGAAGCGCACCGTGTTGCGTGGGCCGGTACCAAAGTCAAAGATGGGTTCGCAGCGGTAGTCGTACAAGGTGGCTTTGGCGGGCATGACTGCGTGCAAACGCAAAAACCAAAAAGCAAAGGCTGAATGAGTGTGTACCGGTCAAAAGTATCACGGCAAGCAACCCTCGCTGAAACTTACAGCCGTAGACGACAACAAACTCGCGTCCGTTAGGGCTCCAGGTAACATCGTAGATTGGGCCTTCCTTGGCAAGCGGCACGTTGCAATCATAATCGCCCTTTGCGCTGATAAAGTAGAGGTTGGTTTCGCCGTAGTACGACTTGTCGTTCTTATCCACGTCAGTGACGGTGCTAACGAGCACGGCAGTGCCTAACACACGAGCAAGGAGCGAGTCAGGCGTTGGTTGTCGGAAAGTATGCAGAAATCAAAAATTCACGATAGACGCTGCCCCGCTTACCAGTGCTGTTCCAGGACATGTTCACCTTGTCCGAGCGGAAGAAGCTCTTGTTGGCAAGACAGGTGTTGGGGCCCTCGAACATTGGGTACTGGAACATGCGAACGTACGCGGCGCTGCCCTGTTTTCCCCGCAAAACAATTGTAAAACACAATCAGATCGGCTTGTACTGTGCTGCGAATACAAGAAGTGGGCTCCATCGTGATGCTCTCCGCACCTTGATGGCTGGAACGTAAATGGTCAGGCGGTACGGGGCCTGACCGGGCGAAAGCGCAAAGCCAGCCAAACCGGGAACGCGAAGTCGTTGGGCGATCGTGCCAAAGTTGCGACCTTCGTAGAACTGCACTTCATTGGTCACGTTGCGAGCAAACAGTGATTCGTCGTCCGACCATTGCGGTTGCCTGAAGGAGGAGGAGGAGGAGGAGAAAAACGAATTGTTAGAAATCGTGGATTTTTGGTTGTTGTTGTTGTTAGTGTTTGTTTGTTTGTTGGAGTCATAATCAAACGCATGTCTCTGTTTGTTCCATACCAGTTGTCAATCGATTTGGCAATGAAGGAAGCAAGCATCTCGCCATTTGCAATCGACCAGATCGTCAGGTTGGGTTCGCCCTCTTGGCCTTCAACTCGAGCTGCAAGGCCAGGCAAGACTTTGAATCAACAAAACGGCTCACCACACGGAGGTGTCACTGATGTTTCATCCACTTACTGAAATAACGCTCCCACAGCGCGACGAAGGTGTTGCGCGGCGAAAAGAGGACGCTGAGGGTGTTTGGGCGCGGCAGGACGCAGACTGGCTGGGCTTGATTCGAACCCACCGGGACGATCGTCACGCTGCGCAACCACAAACATCGAGCACAAGGTTTGAGTACATTGAGCAGCTCGAGAGCGACAATCCTAAAGCGGAAAACGGTCGTTCCTAATCTCAAGTCCAAAATCTCGAGTATTCCGTTCAATCCATGATCATTCAAAATCTCAAGCACTGTTCCACATCTCCCAGATATGATTCTCGTCGCTCAAATCTGCCACTCGAGTCCAGACCTCAAATCTCCAATCGCACAAACTCGTCCAATCCGACCACAAATCTCCCAAACTCTTCCCAATCTCATAGAACCTCATGTTTTAAGGTGCTGCTCCTGAATCTCAGATCCCAATGCCCAATATCAGTACATTGTGCACCTTGTTCGCTTTTCCAATGCACAATCCCAAATGCAACTCCATCCCAATGCAAATCCCAATGATTTTTTTTTTTTTTTTCAAGCTTACCCTGTGCTGTTCGTCCACGCGAACAAGGATCCGTCCTTGGAGAAGCCCATCGAGCGGCACGCGTTGGACGATTCCCTGTCACAATGCAAAAAGCATCAACAACAGCAGCAACAATAACAACAATGGCAAAATGAGCATTCATTGGCAAGCACACAACGTCAGGCACCAGCAAAGACAGAGAGTAAGGAACGAAACGCGCGAAGAGTTGAATCCTCATCCCTCTATCACCACCCCCCTCCCCGAGCTTGTGGCACCCAGACTACTTCGAATGCATAGAATGATGTGGGCTTCGTACGCAGGGAAGCCGGGGACGGGAGTGCCGGCTTGAGGAGGGCCGTGGAGCAGCTGGACGCCCTGCGTGCCGCGGATGGCGAGGGTGAGCAATGCTGGAGCAGCGGAGGCAGCCATGTGAGAAAATGAGGATTGGGGAGTAGTACTGGATTAGATTGGATATGGATGATGGATATGGATTTGTACTACAGTAGATTGAGCCTTGTTGTGGAAAGCGGTTTGAAATGGATTGGGAATACCCACGACAAAACACAAAAAGCATCAAAAACGCGCGCACACAAACGTCTTGAGCTCTTACTCGGACTTGCGCTTGTCTGTCTTGCCGCCGATGATGGTGCGACGCTGCTTGATCATGTACTGGTAGAGCGGCGGGAAACCGGGAACGTAGGTGATTGCCATCACAATCAGGAAGTAGTAGTAGCTAAAGCTAAAGTTGTACCAGTTGGGAAGCTCGGTGCTGAAGAGCTTGTTGCGCTCGACCACGGGCATGGCCTGGAAGATCATGATCACTTCGCCCGAGACGCCCATCGGGTAGAGAACGTAGAAGAACGTGTAGCGGCACCAGGTCAGAATGTACGGAACCGAGCCGAACAGGTTGAAAAAGTAGTACAGGTAGCGAATGATTTCCGTGACGGTCCAGGCAGTCAGCATCAGGGTGAAGGCCCAGTGGGGTTGGGTCTGTGATCGGGTTTTTGGGTGAGGGGAAGCGGAGTTTTGTGAGGGTGCAGGTGCAGGTGCAAAACAGGAAAAACGACCACAACAAGGCTCAAAACCCTCAGTCGTTACCTCTGGCACGCTGTGGGCAATGCCCCAAACAAGGAAGACGCGAGAGTAGACCTGCACAAACGTGATGGCAACGGGGGACTTGACGAAGCCTGCAGCGAGGAGTGAAGAAGAGAAAACGCAGGTGAGATGCGAGAGTTCAGAAACAGAGAGCAAAACACCCCTGGAGCTCAAAACTCACGGACGATGGCATGGATGATCTGCGCAGAATGCAGTGGTTGCATTTGAGCATTACACAAGACGAGCAAGAGGAGGTGAGGCTTCCAATCAGAAAATCCAACAACTCCTCCAAAACTACTAGTGTATCAATCGACAATACCTCGAGGATGGCTCCGGTTTGGAAGATGGCCAGCGCCTGCTCGACCACGGGATAGAGCGTGTTGTAGCTCTTCTGTTGGACAAAGTAGTGATCGATCATCAAGTACAGAATGTACGACCATCTGTATTCAGATTCAAGATTTCAGTTTCAAAGAGTGAGAGCGTTTTCTTCCTTTCCTCGTCCCAATCATTTGCTCAAACACTCGAGCAAAGTATCTCAATGCTCCATGCCATCATGCCACGGGGAATGAATGGCGGCAAAAGCGAAAGAGCAGCGAGCGCGTGTGTGTGCTTTGATCCAACTCTACACTGGCTCCTCAACATCCGCTTCACCCAGATCACCCAGATCACCCAGATCAGCCAGATCCTGAATCCATAACGCTCGTCACACGATCGTCTCCAAGACCCCGCTGGCCCCCCTTTGGACTCCGAGTCCAGCATGCTCGCTCTGCCCCAACAACAACCCCCTCGCCGTCCCTTCCTGGTCCCAGCACCACACTGCTCTCGGGGGGGGGGCAGTTCTGATGAATGGATCGACTTGTGCTGGGGTCTTGTTGCTGTTGTCGTTTATACCCTGCAGCCTGGACGAGGTTGTACGCAGCGAGATAGAGCTTGACGGGCAGCGGCGTCGGCTTCTTGGCAGGAGCAGCGGCAGTCGATGATGGTCCAGCCATTGGATGATCAAGAATAAAAGAGTGTGCGCTTCTTGTCATTTTAATGTTACTCGTATCAATGCAAGTTGATCCAGTTTCAAAAGAGCTGAGCTGAGCTGAGCTGAGCTGAACTGTGCAAGCATTGGGAAACATTGGGATTTTTTCCTCACTCAAGTCCATTGCGTTTGCTTTACGCCGCCCTGTCGGTTTCCATGACACGTTCGAATCACATCAATTCTCAGTCTTTTTTTGTTTTTGTTTTTCTCAGCTTTTTTCGGCTTTCCCCCCAAAAATGTCTGCCGTTAAGCAGCTCAATGACGGCCCGAGCAGCAATCGCTACCGGGTAAACGAACAGCGCTGCTCTCTCCACCACCAGGCACCCCTCCAAAAAAATCGACAAGGGTGTTTTCTTTCATTCTTGTTGCTCGTTGTGCTCTATGACGGGAGAAGCACAGTGACACAAGCAAAGCGGTTGTCCGAATGCAAATCCACACGCGGCCCTTTCCGTCGCTTCCCTACTGTCCCTCTTTTTCCCGCATCCATTGCCACCGCCCTCCTCTCCCCTCCAACCCAGCTAGCTCACTCCCAGACGTGTGCTCACCGCTAAGCTGAGCTTGGGGCAATGTCAACTCCCCGTCAAATCCGCTTCATCCACATGCTTGCTTCCGTCCACATGGACGACCAGCCATCTCCCACCAGCCATCTCCACCCATCCCACCACCACCTCATCATCCTCTCCCCCCCCCTCGACTCAGCCCAAGACCGCCCATGCTTCCATCAGCCAGCAACTCAGCGGGCAGCCTTTTGTGTTCATGCATAGCACACAGATGCTCCTCCACAATGACTTGTTACTCACCTTTTCGGCCTTTTGGTTCGTCTGCACCTGCACAGTTTCAATCATTCAATGAGCGCATTAAAAAAGTCAGCATCAATGTCGCACATCGTGTTGGAGCCGTCGCAGTGGAACCTGAGGTGAGCACCAGCGAGATTGTGCCTCGCACAGCCTGCATCGCATCTTTTGGCATCCTCTGAACCACTCAACTGCATTTCACTTCTGCCTTGCTTTGGCCATCAGGCGGGAGGCTCATTCTTTAACGAAGCGCTGATGAAGTGGCGCGAATTGGACTGCACACGAGAGTTTGTCACTTTCACAAACAAGGTCTACCCATTGGTGCAAACGTTGCACCAGCTACTGTTCCACAAGGACGCTGTGATTGATGCCCTGCTTGTGCATCTCGCAGAGCCCAACTGTGCTGCGCTTCCCGCACTTCTTGAGTATGCGTCTTTTGGGAGATTGTGTGGTGCGTGAGCGCTAACTCACTCCTTCTGATATGTTTCCCTTGGTTCTTTCGCGTTTTGCACTCGCTCTCTTGAATGGATTGGTAGTCTTCTCGCACAGCTCGCACGAGACTTGCGAGAGGAATTCTACCCCGACTTTCCACGGTCGTTTGTGATTGTTGCGCGCGTGCTGGAGGAGGCCAACGATCCCCCGGTGATTGAGGCTGCATTCACGGCTCTGTCCTACTTGTTCAAGTTTTTGCTGCGCTATCTTATTCGCGATATGCGGGACGTCTTCCGGTTGTACCGGCACTTGCTCGCCTCGGACGTTCGGCCATACATTCGCGCTTTTGCCGCAGAGAGCTTTGCGCTGCTGCTTCGCAAGGTGCCTGCCAATGCCTTCCACAACTCTGTTGGCTTGCTGCTCAACCTCGCCTTGTGTCAAGACGACGAAATCACCGCCGACACCACCACCGCAAGCCAACAACCGGCAGCATCGAGCGACATTTCCGGCACAACCCAGTCAACGCTGGCAGCCGACTATGCGCCTTGGGTTTCAGAGTACTCTCGGACAGTCAAACCCGAAGGGATGGTTGAAGGCATGTCACTTCTCATCTTTGAGACGGTCCGGGGCGTGCAGCACCAATTTCACTCGCGCGCTCGCGAAATCTTGTCGACAATCTTGGACATTCTCCTCGAGTTTATCACACATTACGGTGACAGTCATCCAATCTCCGAGCATGTTGGAGAAATTGTGCAAGCAGCTTCCAAACACATGGCCAACTTCACCACTCCCGAGTACGCCGGCACCATTATCGACTGCGTGGTCGCCCGCCTTGAGCGGACCCGGCTTGCTTCGCGCCCGAGCGGCGACGACGCCATGCAAATGGAGGACGGTGGTAGTAGCGACGGCGCCCAGGATGACGCACACTGCTTTGCCCTGCTCCGTGTGCTTTCCGAGTGGATTGAGTATCGTGGTGCCGATCGCATCCAGGAACCGCTCGTCGTGCTCTCTGCGCTGTCCGCGTTGCTGCAGCACTCGTCCAGCTTGCACATGCGCGATGAGATGCTTGAGCTGTTGGTCGAGTCCATCCGCCACATTCTGCTCGCGCGCATCAGCGCGACTTCCGGCCGGACCCAAACCAAAAAGACGGCAAGTCTGAACGCTCAACTGAGCGCCCGCTTTGGCAAAGACCGCGTCAGCTCCATGGACAGCATGAGCTCAAGTGGCAGCAGCAGCAGCAGTGCAGCAGCTTCCCGTGCCCAGCTCGTTGCCCTTCTTGGAGAGGTGACCGTCCTGCTCCCTGCGCTGGCCGACAGCATGCTCAACTGCCTCCCCTTCCACCTGGCGACCGCCTTGCTACCGCCCTTCCTTGACGTCCCTAACTGTGCTCGTATCTTTTTGCCGCGAGCGCTGACTTTTGCCTCGCGTCACTACACGCTGCACACTCTTCCCAGCATGCTCTTCGCCCGCGACATTATCGCTCGGCTGGACGGCATCTCTGACTCGCAGCTTGCCTCCTCCGGGGTTGTGGCGTCGATTCACCGAACTCTCAAGTTTCCCGAAATCTCCGCAGAGACACCCTTTGCCGCTGCGCTGATGGCGCTCATCGAGACCTCGAGCAAGAAGCTCAAGGCTGGTTTGACCAAGGGCAAGACCACCACCAGCACTTTTGTGGGCCACACGGAGTTGGCGACAGCGATTGCGAGCGTGCATCTTGGCTTTGCCTTGTTGGTGCGAATTGATGGCGCGGCGTTGCTTTTGCCTCGTATGCTGCCGGTTCTTGCCGTGCTGGATGAGCTGGCTCGCACGGTTCTCGTGCCGCAATCCACCGCGCAGAGCCAGGTCTTGAGCGCTCTCGCTGCTGGGTGGACGCTTGCACTTCCGTTTTTGGCGGCGCAGACCCAACGGCTGCAGCAACATGGCCGTACGCCATTCACCTTGCTCGAAAACTTTGCTCACCACCTCGACATTCTCGAGTGTGTCGACAAGTGGTTTGGAGCATTGAGCGAGGCTGCGTCGTCGCCCTCTGCCGTGTCTGTGCCTGCCACTCACGCCTCCAAGTCCAAGCCATCCCAGCAACCGCTGCAGGTCGACTTTATCAATGCGACCACCGGTTTGCTCACCCTCAGCACCCTCAACGAGCTGCTGACGTTGCTCGTGCCCAATCTGAGCTCCCCGTACTCTTGCATTCGCGCTGCGACGCTTGTTCTGCTCACTCGGTGCGAGCAGCTTCCGCTGCTGGCCATCGACAGCGACACGGCCGATGAGCGTGCCAACCCGCGCTCATGCCTCGTGTTTTCCCACCTGCTTCAAGCCGAGCAGACCCCGGCCGATCTCGAAAATTTCCGAACTCGCCTCATGCACGTGCGGCAAGTCGACACGGTCGTTGTGGCTGGCCGTCTCCCCACAGTGTACATTGAGCCGGTTCTCCGCTGTCATTTGGCCACCCTTTATCTCAACTTTAAGCCGCTCTGGGCTCCCGCCATGGAAATGATTGGCAACATGGCGTCGCGCATTCCGGAAGCGCAGTTTTGGCAGCAATTCTTTTCGACGTTTGAGGCGTCCCATAGCCGCGTTCGCGCCTCTACCTACTTGACACTGCTGCAAGGAGATGATTTGAACGCTGAAGAAGCAGAAGACGACGACGAAATGGACGAATCCGACGAAAAACAAGCCGCTGATGATGCTGTCGCGCGCTCGGCATTCATTGAGGCTGTTGAAACAGCACGTGCCTCCGAACGACCAGATCATGTCAACTTTCACGTCTTGCTGTTGCAACTTGCTGCGACAGACGCTGTCATGCCGTTCATTGAACGTCACGGCCGCGAATTGCTGCCCCTCTTTTTCGACTTTATCGATACCGAGTACAACAAAATGTACGAAGGCAAGGGAGCCCACCAAGACCTTCGTTCGCTGTCTGACGACGCCGATGCGGCAGATGACGACCAGGAAGAGGATGCGGAAGATGCATCGAATGCTGCCGTAGCGGAAGCCGAGCCTGCAGCTGATGATGCTGAAAGTGCTGCTGCCACCGCCGCTGCTGGTGCTGCTGCTGCTGCTGGCACTACGGACATCTCGGCAAACAACAAACCGCTCCGAGCACTCGTCGGCAAAAAGCTTGGTGGGTTTTTGGGCATTCTTGCCAAGCTGCGCAATCCCAAGGCCGCCTACCAGTCTGATCGCTTGCTTGCACTGCTTCTTGAGTTGCTGGCCAAACCCGAGGCTGCGCTGCAAGCAAAGGCGCTGCAATGCATTTTGGCATTCAAGTTCCCTTATTTGACCCCCTACCGCGAGCCGTTGGAGCAACTTTGTGGCGAGCAATCCTTCCGCAGCGCATTGCTGGCTCTCGACATGGATGCGGATGCCGGTTTGGTCAAAAAGGAGCACCGCCAAGGTCTCTTGTCTGTCATGTCGCGCCTCTTGTATGCCAAGATGATTAGCCGAGCTGGCGGTCGAAAGCAGACGCTGTCGTCAAAGCGCTCTGCCGTCCTCGGCTACCTCATGTCGCTGTCCGAAGAGGAGATTGCGCCGTTTATCGACTTGGTCCTTGAGCCTTTCCTGGCGTCGACCCTCGCCAACATGGCTTCGTTGGCCTCGTCCGCTGCTGCACACAAGCAAGCTCACTTGCCGCCGACCGCCTCGGTGACGGTGCTGGAACTGCTCGACGTGTCTCGCCGGTCGCAACTGGCCGAGTCCTTGGTGCGCGGCTTCTCGTCAACAACTGGCGACGACGACGACGGCGGCGGCTCGCTTGACCCTGCGCGGGTGGTGCCACTGCGCAAGCAGCTTGGTTTCCTGACGGTCGTGTTTGAAATCATCCAAAAGCTGGGCGTCTTGGCGTTGCCGTACGTCGATGTCTGCTTTGCCGTAGTGCTGAACCTGACAGCCAACGCGTCGACGCTCCTCCAGTCACACGCCGTCACTTCCATCAGCCCAGCTTTCTTGACACCACTCAAGTCTATCCGCCTGATGGGTTTGCGTCGCCTCTCTGAGCTTTTCCGGGCCTTCGCTGACCACAATTTCAACTTTGGACTGCCCATGCTGTTCTCCGCCGTGGTCAATCCCCGTTTGCCACGCTTCCAGCAGGAAACCGCTCAGAGCTCGTCCGGTTTGCTCGATTTGTTTGTTGTCTGGAGTCAGCACCCAGAGCTCGCCCTGTACCTTGCACGGAATGTGCAGTACGGCTCAAACCTTCGGGCTGTCCAATCCTCGGAAGCGACCTCTGCCATGGACACGACGACGGCAGCTACAGACTCGACCGAAGCGCTGCCCATCTTGATTGCCGTGTTCAACTGTCTGTCCAACCCTTCCATCACCCACCAGGTTGCCGGCAGCGTGCTCGACCTTGCTGGAAACGTGGTGGCGCTCCTGGAGACGCATCCGGCGATTGCCAACGAGGTGCTTCTGCCGCATGTCGGATGCCTGTTGCAGAATCTGCAAGTCATGATGTTTGGCTGGCTTGGTGACAAGGGCTACCTGCCAGTGTTTGGAAAAGAATTTGCAGAGTCGGATCGCCGCTTTGCCGCCTCGCGTCTCGCCAGCACCCAGCTTGCCACCTCTGTGCAGCGGAAACACACTGGTCAGACGCTCTCACAGCAGCTGGTGCGTCGCAACCTGCAACTTCTGGCCAAGCTTAGCCACTTGACGACCGATCCTGAGCAGTGCCGCGTTCTCGTGTGCCTGCTGCTCCCCTTCCTGAAGAAGAGATCGGTGGGCAGCGTCGCCACGCAATCTGCCCGTGTGAGCATTCTCGGTATTGTCGAACAGTCCATTCCTCTGCTGCCGATGACGTCCGCCTTCTACGCATACCTGAGCCAGCTCTTTGCGACGCTCGAAGGCCGTGAACCTCGCACGCTGCTTTGCCGTGTCTTTGCCGCCATTGCTGCTCATCACGATCCCAGCGTCCAACTGACTGCCGACCTGCTGGCGCGCCTGAACGCCTACCTGCCCGACGCGCTCGACGAGATGGATTACGACACCCGCCTTGTTGCGTTCGCCGAACTGAACGACTCTGTGGCTGGCAACTTAACGTGCCACCAGCTGCTTCCGTTGGCGCACTGCTATGTGCACTTTTTGCATGCGGACGATTTTGGTATTCGTGACAACGCATCGTATGGTCTGCTGCAACTCATCCGCCGAGTCCATCTTGCCAATGCAAAGCACGCTGCTGGCGTTGCATCGAAAAGCAGCAGCAAAGGCGGCAAGAAGGCCACGAAACAGCAGCAGCAGCAGCAGTCCACCGAGAGCGCTTCCACGTCGAGCACGCTGAGCATTGACTTTGCTGTTTGGACACCTCATGAAGTTCAGCTCATCTTTGACGAGATTATCTTGCAAATCATCGTGCCCGCCATCAAGATTGGCGTGCGTGTGGCGCAAGATGCTGTTCGCAACGAAGTGGTCGGGCTGCTTCGGGCGCTTGTCGAAAAGTTCCCCACGCATCCACAGTTTGCCGACATGACGTGCTTGCTCAACACGCAAGACCCCGGCGCGCCCGAAGGCGCCGATCTTCCCGCAGCCGATGCGGACGAGTCGGAAACGATGCAACCTGAAGCCACCGCGGCTGCTGCATCCACCTCTGATGCCCCTCTTGAGATGGCATTTGCGCTGGCCAACACGCAGGCGATCGCTGCCCATGAGGAGGCTGCCTTCTTTGTGAACATTTGCCACGTGCAGTTGCATCGCCGTGCGCGTGCCATGCGCATCCTCGCGCGTTGTGCAGACGAAGGACGGCTCGCCCAGTCCAGCATTGTTCACTACTTTTTGCCGCTGATTTCGCATGTGGTGATTGAAACCACGCGATCGAGCGATCACAACATTGTGACGGAAGCCATCCGAACTGTGGCCATGCTCGCTCGCCAGCTCAGCTGGAGTCACTACTACAAGGCCTTCCAGTCGGCCCTGCGCACCCTCAAGAAGAACTCGGAGCTGCAGACGACCATTGTTCGCCTGCTTGTGGCCATTATCGAGTCCTTCCACTTTGATCTGCAACCCTCTGAAGCCGATATTCTGCTGAGTGCGCAAGAAGAGGTGATTGAACAAGGCGGCGAGGAAGCAGACGCCAAGGACAAGTCTGCTGAGAATGTTGTAGAAGCCGAGGACGATGAAGATGACGACGAAGGAGCCGACGAGGAAGGCCAGGACGAACCCGCGGCAATGGCAACTGCCGACTCGCTCGAGGCCCGCATTGCTGCTGCCGACAAGATGAAGCAGGCTGTGCTTTCGCGCTTGTTGCCTTCGCTTCACAACGTGCTTGTGACCAAGAAGGGTGACACGGAGCACGTGCGCTCGCCCGTTGCCATTGCGATTGTCTCGCTGCTCATGCGCTTGCCTCGCGCTCTTCTCGACGCTCGTATTTCGGGCGTGATTGCGCGTGTCTGCAATCTGCTCAAGTCGCACAACCAGCAGGCCCGTGATGAAGCCCGCGCTACTTTGGGAGAAATGCTGCAGACTGTTGGTGCAGAGTTCCTCCCCGTCTTTCTGCGCAACCTGCAAAATGCCTTGGCTCGTGGCTATCAGCTGCACATCCTCGGCTTTACCTTGCATGCCGTCCTGTCGCGTGTGCTGGCGTTGCACACTGCCAACCCCGTGCCGGCCTCGCAGGAGGCGGTGGACAGCTGTGCTCCCGACATTGTTCGCATCATTCTCGACGACACATTCGGCGAGGTTGGCAAGGAGAAGGAGGTTCAAGGCATCACTGCCAAGTCCAAGGAAGCCCGCTCGCGTCGCGGTGGCGAATGCATGGAGCTTCTCTGCCGCCTCATCTCGTTCAAATTCTTCCCGTCGGTCGTCTTGTCCCCAATGTCCTCGCTGTTGGAGGCCATCAACTCTGTGTCGGACAAGAGTCGTATTGAGGAGCTGCTGCGCCGTGCCGCGTCCGGTCTGACCGTCAATCCCTCCGTCCAAATTCCGATGCTGCTCATTTGCGTGTACTCGCTGCTTGAGCGAAGTGTAGAGCAGCTGCGAGCAGCGTCGAGCAAGAAGAAGGCGGGCAACAACAGCCCCGCGGCGATCGAAGCTCGCAACGCCAGCAAAGCCACTGCCGAGAGCTTTGAACGACCCATGCTGATCAACAGCTCCACCGCCAGCGGCCCGATGCCCACGGCTGGATTTGACGACGATGACGACGCAAGCCGCAAGCCTGGCAACCGTCGCACCAACGAGAGTGTTGGTCTGGCCGAGCAGCCCTTCTCGAGCCTATCCCGTCTCGACATTGCCTTCATGGTGCTGCCGGCTGTTCGTCGCGACCGTGCCCCGTCCGCCGAGACCATCGCAAACGCGCACGTGTTGGTGGAGTTTGGCTTGGTTTTGCTTCGCGCCTTCTTCAAGCGCGACCTTGTTGCCCGTCGCCGGCCCAACCTCGGTTCCGCCAAGCCCAGCAACAAGAAGGCAGCTCGTGCAATTCCGGCGGCACCCGCAGACGCGGCTGAGCCCATGGAAGTGGACGAAAGCACGGATTCGTCGGCCAACAAGGAAGCCGCGGTCGACGAGGCACCTGCGGTCGACGACCAGGACGCCTTGTACGTCGAGACGCTCCAGATGCTCGACCCGCTCGTGCGCATTCTGTGCGACTGCTTGGTCTCGCGGCATAGCCGTGTCTTGAGCCTCAGTCTCAAATGCTTGTCCTTCATGTACTCGTTGCCATTGCCAACGATGAGTGCCATGCTGCACGTCGTGGTGGAGCGCGTTCTTCGCTGCATCTCTCGTGCCGGCCAAGGCTCGCAGGCGAGCGAACTCGTGCAGTCGTGCATGCGCGCGGTTATTGCGCTGATTCTGCGCAAGCCCGCCCCCGGCTCGCGCAGCACGGAATCGCTCTTGCAAGAGAAGCAGCTCACTGCGCTCCTTGCCCTGGCCAAGGAGGGCATTGAGGCCGGTGACCATGACCGCCAGACCACAACGTTCGCATTGATTCGCGCGATTGTGACGAAAAAGCTCGTGTCGACGCAGCTGGTTGATGTGATTGAACATGTCGCCGATGTGTCTGTGCGCAGCCAGTTTGTGCACGTCCGTCAAGCGTGCAGCCACCTCCTGGTTGCATTCATTCTCGATCATCCCACTGGCCAGCGCGTCAAGGTGCGCACGCAGTTTATTCAGTTCCTCGTGAACAACCTTGGCTACGAGTACCAAACCGGTCGAGAGAGTGTGATTGAAACCATCCACACCTTCTTGCTGAAAGCCCCGGCGGCCCTGATTCCGGAAGTCTGCGAGTACCTCTTCCTTGCCTTGGCACCGCGTCTTGTGAACGACGAAGCTGCCATTTGCCGCGAAATGTGCATGACGGTTGTCCGCACCCTGGTTGCCCGCTGCGCTCAGACTGCGCCCGACAAGGAGGAGGCACTGTTCAACCTGACAATGCAGTGGCTCGGCAGCACCAAGGAGTCGATGCGTCGCATGTCTGCCCAGATGGCTGGTGCCTTTGTGAGCGGAACGCAGCCAGACGCTCGCGTGCAGCTGGTCATTGCTCGGCTCGTCGAGTGTGTGTCGTTGGCCGATTGGCAACGGCAGCAACGCGAACGCCGCCTCGCCGCTCGCCGCTCGAACGACGATGACGACAACGATGCCGCCGAAGCCGAGCAAGCGGACGACGAACACCAGGTCGAGGCGGCCGAGGCTCAATGGCAGCTTGTGTACATGGCGCTTTCCACGCTGAGCAAGCTCATTCAAGCAATGCCCCGCATTGCAGAATGGCGCGAATCAACTCCTCTGTGGGAGGTGATGCCAGCCCGGCTACTGCACTCGCATAGCTGGGTTCGATTGGCTGCTGCGCGCCTGTGGGGTTTGGCATGCTCCAAGTTGGATGTGCCTGCTGTGGTCGCACTCTGCACGGCGCCAGCTGCTGCTGCTCCCGAACCCGAGCCGCTCACTCAACGTCGTGGGAAACGTGCTCAGACTCCTGCTGCTGCTGCTGCGGCTCCTGTGAACAAATTGGCCAACCATGCGCTGGCCGTCTACCTCACAGGGCATGGCAATGCTGTGCGCATTGCTCACTCGTTGTGCCGTCAGATGGCGTCGCGCATTTTGGACAATGCGCTTGCCGAGCAAATTGTCAAAAATCTGTTCTTTGTCTCCAAGCTGCTGCTCTTGTGCCCGCCCCTGAACGTCACCTTGGACGCGCGCGAGCGAACCCGTGACCAGCGCTTCCACGCGCGTCAGCTCGCTTCCGAACGGGCAGACCAAGCCGACGCGACTGCAGACGCCAATCGTGCGGCTCAGGCGTCGTCCGAGGCCGTACTTGGCGACGCTCCCGACCCAGATGCAGCCACGGCCGTTGACAGCGACTATGAGGAGACTGCTGACATCCAAGAAACAATCCAGGATCGCGACGGTCAGACAATTTCCGTGGAGGATGCCCGTGAAAAGTACTGCGGTCTCACATGGATGTTCCGGAGCCTTGCGTTCACGACTCGAGTCGAGTACACTAAAAACCCTCGGAATATCGTTCAGGTGAGAGTCGAGTACTTGTGTTCATTGAACTTTTGGTTGAGGTGTTGAAGCTCATCGTTGACTTGGTGTTTTTCTTTTTCTCTTGTTCTTTTGGTTTCGTCGTCTAGCGCTCGCATATTCTCAAGTGGTTTGCGGCGATGGCGGCAACGCTTGGCCCTCACCTGGTCATTCCGTTCTTGGACATTATGCTTTCTCCAGTCTACCGCATTGTCACGGATGACTCTGGCACCAAAAGTGAGGGGTTCTTGATTGTTTTTGTTTTGATGCGAACGGGGTGTGTGATCAAACTGACTTTTGAGCGGTTTTTGCTTTGTATCTCTGCTTTTTATTGAACCCTCCCCCCCTTCTTCCTTAAACAGACGAGAGCTTGATCACTCTGGGAAACGAAGTGGTCGATTTGCTGCAACAAGTGGTGGGACCCACGCGTTTCCATCAGACCTACAATGCCGTGCGCACCCAGGTCCAGAATGTGCGCTCCGACCGCAAGCGCAACCGCGTCATCCAGGCAGTTGTTGATCCTGCTGCTGCCGCGCGTCGCAAGATCAAGAAGAACCTCGGCAAGCGCGAAGCGCGTCGCAACAAGATTGCCGCGTTCAAGCCCGACTTGCAGCTGCGCCGCACAAACAAGCGAGTTCGACTGGATAATGACCAGGATTTTGACTAGACGTGTGTCGTTTGATGTGTGTTTACGTGTGTGTGTGTATTCTATTCCTGTCGTTTGAATGTACATTATTGAAGCCCAAATCCGCTTTCAGTCCTCGTTTTCGTTTTGTCACTCCGTCGAACAACCAAACAAACAAAAAATACTCCCACAAACATAAACAAAATGCTGGGATCGCTGAGCAACATTGTGTCTTCAGCTGGGCTGAACGGTTGTCGCTTGAACAGCACCCGGCTTGCGATGGCAGGGCGAATGGGATTGAGTTTTGCAACTGGCTTGGCGGCGAATTCGGCGAGATGCGCGTCGACTGGCGCTGCTGCTGGTGCTGGTGCTGCTGCTGCTGCTGCTGCTGCTGCTGCTGCACTGCAGCCATTCCATCTGGCCATCCCAGTGAACGACTTGGCGGCGGCGCGGGCGTTCTACGGCGGAGTGCTCAACCTGAAGGAGGGCCGCTCGTCCGCTGGGTGGCAGGATTACGACTTTTACGGCCACCAGCTGGTGATTCACCAGGTCACCCGGGATTATCGCGGCAACGACTACTTCAACCCGGTGGACGGCGACCAGGTGCCCATCGCGCACTTTGGCGTGGTCTTGAACGTTGCCCAATTCCACGATCTGGCGCAACGCCTCCAGAAGGCCAACACCGAGTTCCTGCTCAAGCCGCACGTCCGGTTCCAGGGCCTCAAGGGCGAGCAATGGACCATGTTCTTCAAGGACGTCAGCGGAAACAACCTCGAGTTCAAAGCACTGACCAACCCGGACGATCTCTTCACCAAATTTGAGTAGAAGCAATCTCAAGTTAGTTCTGTTTTTGTTTCAGTATGTGACTATCCGCTTCCAATGCTCCATCATTCAGTACAGAAAAGTTGCATACATAAAGTTCGGTATCAATGCTCAAGATCAATGAGAGGTGGATTGATTTTCAAGACAGCATATTAAAAAAAAAAAACAATTCACAATTGACACCAACGAACAAACGAACGAACGAACAGCAATCATCGGTAACTGGCGCGCTGTAACAGCTGTTACAGCATTAAGAAAGTCAAAATATCAGATAGCGACACGATTCCAATCACCCGCTTGTTGTTGTCGACGACGATCAAACGATGAACATGGGTGCAGACGATCGAGTCCAAAATGCTCTTGAACGAGTCGGTTTTGAGACACGTCACAACGCCTTCGAAGCCCTGGGTGATTGAGGTGGAGGTTAAGGGGGGGGAGGAAGGGGCACAGCAGCAAAGTTAGGTGCGGCACTGATGATGAAGAAGAAAAGCGCAAAAGTCTAACAAAGCTGATTTCGAATCCTCTTACCTCTGCACGATGAGAGAGAGCTTCAAGCACAGGGACGTCCAAGTTGTTATAGGTTCGCTCGCGCGCGAGATTCTGCAGGGGCCAACGAATGATGAGATGCAGGAATGACGTGCAAATAAGGATACGAAAACAAACAAAAAAAGCGCCCTTACAATGACATCGTATTTGGCATAAACGTCAATAACAACACCTGTTGAGAGGCAGGGAAAGATAAAAACGATTGTGAGCGAGTCAATACAGACAAACAGGCACAAGAAGAACAAGGCGCATGCTTACCGGTCTCGTCGACAATCGGCAGACAAGACACGCGCTTCTCGGCAAACACGTTGAGAACAATGATGAGCGGCGTGTCGGGCGAGGCCGTGGCAATGTTCTTGTAGGTGCCAATGTTGAGCTGGCCGATCGAGTGCGACAGGAAGGCCGGTGGCGATGTCTGCTTCATCGAGTTGTACATGAAGTGGAGGATGCGCTTGTGGGTGAGGACGGCGACCGCGCTGTTGCTGGCCGAGTCGATGAGCGGCAAGCGGTGGATGCGCGACATGACGAGAATGCGAGCAGCGTCATAGAGGGTCGCCATGGGCTCGACCGAGATCATCTTGGCGGGGAGTTTGGTCGAGACGACCTCGCGCCACGTCTGGATGCGGTGCTCCTCGACCTCGTCCATGGTGACGAGCGGCGACTTGTAGTAGAATCGCAGAATGTTGATAAAGTCTGTGACGGTGAGCATTCCGACAAACTGCTGCCTGGACGAGTCCCAGATGGGGGCCGAGCGCAGCCCGTTCTGCAGGAGTGCGTAGAAGGCCTTGCGCACGAGCAGGTTGACCTCAAAGACGATAATCTTGCCCGAGTCTGGCACCAGGTCGTAGCAGGTGTGCTGCTTCATGATGGCAGTGTACAGCTTGCGCCCTTCCAGGATGCCTGCTGGGTCGTGGATGGCAGGCGCAGACGACGCTGGGCGGGATCCCGCTGGTGACGCGCCGGCAGACACTGCAGACGACGGACCGCCGCCAGGTGTGCTCGGAGTGCCCGCGGACGCAAAGTGCGCTGATGCAGGGTTGTTGCCGCCACCAGCCGCATTGGGAGTGGCGGCAGCACCAGCGGCGGAAGCGAGCGGCGCAGTGAGCATTGAGGAGGACACGGACGCCGACGACGACGACGAAGGGGCAGACGCTGCAGCGACATTGGCACCGCCGCCAGCGAGCGCGCCCGCAGCCATTGCATTGTTCAGATGGAAGTGCTGGTTGCTGTGCGGCTGCTGCTGCTGCTGAGGTGCGCCCAGTGCGGACGACGCCGACGCTCTCGGCTGGTGGGTGATAAAGCCGCCCCCTGTTGCTCCTCCTGCTCCTCCTGGTGCTCCTGGTGCTCCTCCTGCTACGAACGATGATGATGATGATGCTGCTGGAGCAGTGCCCTGCTGCTGGTGGTGTCTGCTGCTTGAAGAGCTGCTGTTGTGGCGGTGGTGGTCGTCGACAGCCATCGGCATTGCATACGAGCTCAGATCGTCCTCCATTGCTTGCATTCGAACAGAAAGGGATGACGGGTGAATGAGAAAATGAGAATGAGATTGAATGAAAAAAAAAAAAAAGTGGACTGAATATGAAAAAGTGCAAACTGAGTGCGAGTTCAAAGCAAAAATGAAGCGGAAGTAGTGCGAGACAGAGGGGAAAGAGTGAAAAGAGTGAAAAGAGTGAAAAGAGTGGAAAAGAGCGAGAAAAAAGCAGCTGAGCGTTCAGTCACCCACCACCACTACTGATGCTATCATTGATCATTCATCACTCTTCACTCATCATTCAACATTGATTATTCACTCATTCTGATCATCCTTCACTCGTCATTCACTCGTACTGATCGTTCATCCTTCTCACTCATCGTTTCAACTTGAACAGTCTCAGTCTCTCGCTCTCTCTTTCGATAGCTGCAACTTTTTCTTTCATTTTTTTTCCGTTCCACCACAGTTCAGCAGCACCACCAACCATGCACCGAGTGGTGGTCACGGCGGCGGGACTGCCAGAGCGACTTGCACAGTGGCTGCAGCGAGGACGACGACGACGAGATTCAGCAGACGAGCAAGAAGAGCAACAGGGACGACTCGATGCTGCCATCCGAGCACTCATCGCATGTGCTGAAGATCAAGATCACCACCAGGCAATGATGACCATCGACCGAGAACGAGACCCGCCGCTGCTGCTGAAGGGCGACAAGGAGCACACCGACGAGTGGGAAGGCGCGCTTCAGACGATCGTCGCCGCGGCCACTCTGCGCGTGCGTGAGGGTGCCATCCAGGAGCAGGATGATCAAGAAGACCAAGATGAACCAGATCACGAAGCGAATGGCGGAAGCGCTGGCCTCGGAGTGGACGAGGACGATCGATACCAAGCTGCACTGTACGACGACGACGACGACGACGACGACTCATTCAGTACGAGTGACCACCAGGGCAACGATAATCGGATTGGAACAAGCACCGACGATGCGCAAAGCAGAGCTGCAGGAATGGACGGGCTGCGACAACGGCAGTTCCGCATCGACGAGCTGCTCGCTCTGTGGGCTGCTCAGATGGTCGTTGCGCTCGAACACCGGGGACGACACGAGCAGCAAGCTGCAAGCGACAGTAGGTCGCAATCCATGCAAGGGGTGGAGGCCTCCAAGACACAAGACACCGCTTTACCGATGGACGAGTCTACCGCTCTTGCTCCGGCTCCTGCTCCGGCTCCGGCTCCGGCTCCGGCTCCTGCTGGACCGTCCAGACAATCTCAGGCGCTCATCCGGGACCTGCAACAGCTAATCGTCACTCTGGTACTGAGCACTGGCTTGACGCCTCGATGGCTGTGCGACCTGGCTTCATCGTCGCCACTGCCAACAACGGCTCGGCTGCTGCATCGCCTTGTCGCTCTGCTCGGCGAGAGCGCCGTGGTCGCTCTCGTTCAAGCTGTCGGCTTGCTGTATGACTCTGACAACCAACACTTGGCGTGGAGATGCCTCGTACAAGTATGTCAGTCCCTCGTCACTCAACCTGGAGTCAGCCGCTCCATGTTGCAAGCTCAAGCCACTACTGCCTTCCAGCTGCTTCAATCGATTCGCCCAGGCTCATCCTTGGCGTGCATGATTGATATGGTTTGTGTGGATCGCAATCTTCTCGCTCTCGTTCTTCCATCCGCGCTCCAAGAATTCACACCGGAGGCATCACCACCGTCCAGCTTGAAATGGCACCAATGGCACAATCTCGCGATCGTCGTGCCGCCACAAGAACTTGACGGGACAGTGTTTTCGACGCTGCTCGAAGACCTGACCCTTGCACAGACCAATGCCTGCATTGCCGAGGCCGTGCCGGATCTCGTCTTGCTTGCCCAGACGGTGCTGTCTCGTGCCGACAATTTGCCACATTCGTTTGCCTCCATCGCTTCTTCCTTCCTTCGCCAGACGTTCGACTTGGTGTCTTTGCCCACCACCTCGCGAGCAGGCAATGAGCTCATCCATGCTTTGGCTGCGCGCCCCGACGTCCTGGCTCGCAGCTCTTTGCTGGCACAAGGCGTGTACTCCAGCTTGAGCGAGTCCGAGCTCCATCCCGTTGATGCTCGCAGCTCCCGTCGGGCACCAAGGAGCCCGACTGAAACGTCCACCGATTCGGCAGTTCAAGCGGTTGTGCACCTCGTTCATTCCGTAGTTCGGAGCACGGTCTCGGGCGCCAATGCTGACTGGCTCGCGGCAGCGCGCAAGGTTACTCGATATGTCGGTGACTTGCACCCACTCCATTTGGATGCATGGCGTGGAGCTGCCACCTGCCTTCTTTTGAACGCATCAGTTCAGGATCCAAACAATGTGGACACTGCGGACGCTGGCAGCACGATCGCGCTCGAGACTGGCGTTCTACGGTTGCTCGCTTGCTGTCTGGCTACCGGGGCGTCTTGGCAAGCTCAGAGCCCTTCGTCCGATTCCATGCAACGAGTGCTCGCTTTGGTCGTGTTCCAATGCTGGAACAGTCTGGCCAAAGCCATGCTTGGGTCTTCTCTCCATGGTGAGGCTGCGCGGATGCTCTCCAATAACGCGATTCGGCACGCGAGTATTTCGCTCAGTGATGCAACGAGCGTCGATGCAACCAGTGGCGCATGCGAATCCATCTTCCTTGGGTTGATTGGAAATGCAAGCACCGCTCCCGACGCCACCGCGACATCGACCCAAGGTGCGGCCCTCGCTGTTGCCGATACTTTGGTGGGCGATCTGCTCTCGCTAATGGCATCGCAGATGAAGTTGCTGTTGCAAAATCAACCAAAAGCTGCCGAGATGCTTTCTCCGAGTCTTCAACTCACGAGCGATAGCTGTAAGAACGTGGCTTGAGCGGAGAAGGCGACATGGTTGGTTGTCTTTTTTTTTGGAATTTGGAATTTGGCAGCTGACTTGTGTTTTTATTATCTTGCCTTTTGGATCGGGGTCCTCTTGTCAGTGGTTTCACTTTGCCTGTTTCCGTCGATGCAGGCGCATGTTATAGAAAGCTTGGTAGACGCCGGAATATCGGACGCGGCCTTGTCGGTGCATCTGTTCTCGGCGGCTACGTCTGTCGTTGAAGCGCAAGCACGGCAACTTGGCATTGCGCAAGACGAGCTTCTTCGTGCAAAGTACGCGTGCTCATTGCTTTTCGTGTCCTGCTCGATGTTTGTCAGACTCATTGGATTGATTTCTTTTCTGATAGATATCGAAACTCCTCGACAGTTGCACAGCTGCTTGACCACTGCGTTATGATGAATTCGGAGCCCCATGCTACAAACGAGACGGATGTGCGAGACCAAGCAGATCACTTTGGCAGTCGCGTGCTATCGTCCGTGCTGAGCTCTCGTGTTGCCTTGTATACTGCCATTCAGCATGCTGGCGCGTACTTTTCGCAACATCGTGAGCTGTTTGCCGATATTCCTTCGTTTGATCGGTGAGTCTCTTTTGCCGCTGTTGATGTCATTGCCACACACACACAATCTCATGGTTTGACGATTTTTTTGCCTTGCAACAGCGATCGTATGACGGGAAAATGCTTCCACGAAAACCCACTCCTCTTCCACGTTTTATGGATTCTTGCAGAGAGTGAGTTGTTCGCGTTTATTGCGCACCTGCTCGGGACGCTCCAGCAAAAACTAACTCGCTCAAATTCCCCTCTTGTTGTGGTAGCGCCGACAATCCTGCTGGACTCGTTAGTATTGATTTGCAGTCTGGTAATCGACTTGCGCTCGCGCTGGAAAAAGTCGTTGCAGCCTTCCAGAAAGCAGTTTCATGAATTGAAGCAAACAATGATGTTGTTTGCCATTGTGGAGAAGGTTTGTGGAATTTTTGGGGGCTTGCAGGCAAACCTGCTGGTTTGATTTTAATTCTCAAGTTTTCTTTTTTTTGTTTCTTGTGTTTTGCTTTGTTTTGGTTTGTATTTTTTGCTTGGTAGGCGCAATGGTGCCCACTTCCAGTGACCAAACTGGGCGCGCTGGTGCCGCATCTCCTGGGAAATCAAATCGCAATACTTTTAAAGTGCGTGCGTGAAGCACTGCACAGCGGTGTGAATGCAGACATGGCGTTTGCGCCACTCGTCGACAGCAAGCACGAATCGCCAGACTCGACCAGCAAGGCTCCTTTTGCAGTCAATTGGGCTTGCTCCCCGCCAAAAGTCGCTCGGACGTGGAATTGGCGAGTAGAAAACGTCGACAAGGGCATGTCGCGTTACACGTTGCGAAGATTGATGGAGCCCATCAAACCCATTGTTCTTGGCAACATGGCGCTCTTCGACACCCTGTATGCTCAGCTCTTCCCCGTTTCCGAGGTCGCGAATGACACATCCGCCGTGTCGAGCGAGTCCATCCTCTCGCTTGCGACCGAGTTTGTCCCGTCCGGGCATTTGCTCTCGCGCCAGCCTTCCATTCGCGAAGACAAGCCGGCCGTGGCTGTTGACGACGAGGGAGAGGATGAGGATGAGGAAAGTGTGACGGACAACTTTTTGGGTACCGAAACCGAGCTGGACCACCTCAAGGGTACTTTGATCAACCGTTTGGACGGATTCGAAGACGAGGCCTCCACGACTCTTCTCAGTGACACTGCGGCCGTCGATGTTGCTTCTGTGGATTCGAGCGCTTCGTCGAACGATTCACTCGGGCAAGAATAGCTTGGAGTGGATGCAGTTTGTAACTTTTGATAAGAGCCATTTGGTTTTTGTTTGCGTTTTGATTTTCTTCGAGATACTAGTGCTCCCGTACATGTAACATCATGGCTCTTTATCGACATCCTGCAGTATCCCGCTTCACATGTCCAAGGAGTCGGAGAGCATGAGCTTCCATTTGTCCTTTGTGTGTGTTCCACTTCCATTGCTGCCATTTCAACCAACCCAACAACCACCCAATTTCAACAACGAAATTCACCATTCCATCTTTTTGTGTTATTCGCCATGGATTACAAGTTGGTCAAGACATCCAAACTCAAGCTCAAAGGGTGCGAATCAGAACGAACGAACGGGGCGTTTCGTACTTTTGGTGACCAACTTGTGCGACCAAAGCGATGATCTCACTTTGTGAGACGCGTGCATGTATGTACTGTTGTGAATTGCAGAATCGACCTGAGCAAGCCAAAGAAGAACAAGAGCGCCAGCTCGAGCGGGCGCGCAACGACGACCAGCGACGACGGCGCAGCTCCGTCCACGAGTGCCTCTGGCTCGGGTTCAGGCTCCGGTGCAAGGTCGTCCAACAAGGGATCGACGGACATTGGTCTCGAAGCGAGTAGTGCAGGCGCAGGGAGCACGACACGACATGGTAACGCAGCACGAACGACAGCGAGGCAACCGCGACGACGACCGGTCTAAACTCACCATACATGGTGCTGTGGATGTCGTTCTGTTCACAAAAAAACCGTTGTTGTTGCTCGGTGTTGTAGGAAAATGGTGGGCCGTGCCCGTTGCGGAAAACTTGCGAGGCGATGTCTTGATTGAAGCGGGCGACAGTGGCAAGTACATCCTGGCTGCTGACAACGGCTCGCTGACTACTGGACCTCTCTATGATGACGAAGGTTGGTTGCTTTTGATTGGTTTCATTGGTGGATTCAATGTCGAGGCAGCTTTGCCCCATCTTTGGACGGTTGAAAACTGAGCTGATACGGTACAGATCCGGAAGCACCGTCCCCCGCAGAAATCTTCACTGTGGTCCAGCCGGAGCCAAACACTGTCGCATTCCGAAGCCCGTACGAGCGCTTCTTGACGGCAACGACGGAAGGGCAGGCTGTTGCTCAGACCAAGGCTGTTGGGCCTCGCGAAATCTGGCAGCTCGTCTCACTGGACGACGAGGAGTGCTGCTTTGGCATCCAAAGCCTCCATACCAACAAGTTTCTTTCTGCGACGCCGAGCGGAGCCATTTTTGCCAACAGTGAGGAACTCGGTCCTTCCGAGCGATTCTTCTTGCGGTCCAACCGGCCGCGACGAGAAACTCGGCTTGACACTGCGGCAGTCCTACGAGCTGATCAAGAACGAAGTGTCTTCAATTCGATCACTGCAGACGACACTGATGGGCTCGTTAACTTGGCAAACAGCATTTCGTAAGTGGGAGACAGAGGAGGGGCGCGTTAATATTCAAATTGGTTTTGCACTTTGCAACCTGATTTTGGTGGTGGGTTTTTTTCCTATTGTGTGTCGGCCACCATGATTGCTTGTTGCTAGACGGAAGTATCAGGCAGTCAGCAACCAAACGGCCGCCAAACACAAACTCGACGCGGATCAAGTTCGGGTGCTCAAAAAGGCGCGACTCGACGGCACAGTGCATGAGGCACTCCTCGATCGACGAGCTCAACTCAAAGGCGACAAGTATTGCAAATGAGTACTCGAGCCCGTGTGTCTGCTTTGAACGCGTGGCATCTTGTGAATTTGTCGCGCTCTGCTCAGACTGCCATTTTCAAACAGCAGATTATGTTCTCGCAAGAGTAGTAGAAGTACATTTTCATTGATACAGTACTAGTACGAGCCAGATGGGTGCAGCTCCAAAACAGCCTGAATTAAACATGCAACGCAACATACACTCAAACATCAAACACCTAGAGCAGCTCACGGAACAAAGGTCTGGTTAAACGCGCCCTGCTTGAAAGAAGTCAGACGCACCCGGATAATCGGGCAGGTGCTGTGGCGATGGATCATCACTTGAGCACACGCAACACAGACGCATGAATTGTGAACACAGGCGCTGACTCTAGCCTCTAGAGGTGAAACAAGTCAAGTCAGAAAGAAAATATAGTCACAAACACCCGCAAGACAAAGTGCAACTCACGAGAACTCGCAATTCGCGGGAAGTCTTTTGGAAAACAGCTGCACAACGCTTGGCGAGATCTGGTTTTGTGATAGACTGGTGCAAGCATAAACACGTGCAAAATGTAATGTCAACGAATGTCCCGTGCTCGTTAGCTCAAACCGCGGCATGTAGAGCCGCGCACCCATCGGCCCTGCACCGCAACGAAACGTACGAGAGTTTGGACAGTTCTGCCTTGTTCCAAAGCGCAAATCCAATTGCCTGTGCTCCAGCGTCTCCAATTTGATTGTCGTGCATTCTGTGCCAGACAAACATCAGTATCAACCCAGATGTGAGCGAAGCTGGAGATGCAACCAATAGCCAATCGTGCGGCTACAATACCTGAGTGCAGTCAGTACAGCCGATCCCTGTATGCCTTCAGCGATGGCACGAGCTCCACTGTCACCAATCTGGTTGCTGCTCAAGCTGTATCAAGTCGTTCAAATGAGAGCCGTAGGATCAGCATGCCCCCTGTGACACCACCAACATACTAGAGCATAGCCAGCCCCGCTTTGTTCCGAAGCGCAGATCCGATCGCCTGAGCTCCCGCGTCGCCAATTTGGTTGTTGAACATACTAACACAGGCAGAAATCAGCAGCAAGTCACTCTTGAGCCAACCTGGACATGTAACCGACATTCAAACGTGCGACTAGCATACTCGAGCACAGCCAGCGCAGTCGACGTCTTCAGTCCCTCAGCGATGGCACGGGCTCCAGAGTCACCAATCTTGTTACTGTTCAGGCTGTAGCCAAGTGATCGAATTAGAGCCGAACACCAAACAGACACTCTACACACCAGAACGTACCCGAGCACGGACAGGTTCGGCTTGTTCCTAAGCGCAGATCCGATTGCCTTCGCTCCTGTATCACCAAATTGATTGGTGTGCATCCTAACTCAGGCAAACATCACAATCAAACCACTCTTTAGCGGAGGTGGACATGCGACCAAGGAGAAACGTGCGACCGCTGTACCTGAGCTCAGTCAGCGCTGTCGACGTTTGCAGGCCTTCAGCGACAGCACTAGCTCCGGCATCACCAATATTGTTCTCTTCCAAGCTGTATGAAAGTGCCAAAATAAGCGCCGCGTTCCCACACAGGGCACTGTACACCAGCAGAACGTACTAGAGCATTGACAGATTCGCTTTGTTCCGAAGTGCCAATCCGATCGCCTGTGCTCCCGCGTCGCCAATTTGATTGGTTTGCATCCTGTGATGACAAATACCAGTCGCAACCCATTTTTAGCAAACCTGAAAATGCAACAGAATGTCAACGGTGCGCCTACAATACCTCAAGTCAGTCAACTCAGCTGACGTCTGCAGGCCCTCAGCGATTGCACGAGCTCCGGCATCACCAATCTTGTTCTCATCCAAGCTGTATCGAGTGGCTCAAAGTAAGCGCCGCATTCCCACACAGTACTGTGCATCGCCAGAACGTACTAGAGCACGGACAGATCTGGCTTGTTCCGAAGCGCAGAGCCGATCGCCTGTGCGCCCGTATCACCGATTTGGTTGGTATCCATCCTAAGTCACGCAAATATCAAACCGCACCAAGCCACTCTTTAGCAAAGCTGGAAATGAGAGCCAAGTCAAACGTGCAACCACCGTACCTGAGGTCAATCAACTCAATCGACGTCTGCAGCCCTTCGGCGATGGAACGAGCTCCAGCGTCACCAATCTTGTTACTGCTCAAACTACATCAACGCGCTCAAGTGAGAGCCATGTGACCAATAGCCCCCTGCGATGCCGCCAGAACGTACTAGAGCATGGACAGGTTGGCCTTATTCTGAAGCGCAGATCCGATCGCCTGGGCTCCTGCGTCACCAATTTGATTGGCATGCATCCTAACTCAGACAAGCATCCATTGTAAGCCATTCTTGAGCAAAACTGGACGTGTAATCAAAGTACAGACGCGCGACTACAATACCCGAGCTTAGCCAGCGCAGTGGAAGTCCTCAGTCCCTCGGCGATGGCACGAGCTCCGGCATCACCAATCTTGTTCTCGTGCAAACTGCATCAAGTAGGTCAAAATAAGAGCCGCGCTCCCTCAGGACACTGTCTACCACTGGAACGTACTCAAGCATTGACAGGTTTGCCTTGTTCCCGAGCGCAGCTCCGATCGCCTGAGCTCCAGCGTCGCCGATTTGATTCGAACTCATCCTAAGACAGACAAATATCAGAAGCAAGCCGTTTTTGAGCAAAGCTGGTGATGGTATCAAAGTCAAATGCGCGACCGTACTACCTCAGCTCGGTCAACGCAGTCGAGGTCTGCAGGCCCTCAGCAATGGCACGAGCTCCGGCATCGCCAATCTTGTTCTCGTCCAAGCTGTACCAAATCGGTCATGTTAGAGCCGCGTGACCGACAGTCCCTGAAGAGACCAGCACTAGACCATACTTGAGAATACTCAGGTTTGCCTTGTTCCGAAGCGCAACTCCGATCGCCTGCGCGCCTGCGTCGCCGATTTGATTCGTATCCATCCTAAGACAAGCAAATATCAGAACCAAGTCATTCGTCACCAAACCTAGGGATGTACGGTTGTAATACCTGAAGTCAGCCAGTTCGGGCGACGCCTGCAGGCCCTCAGCGATAGCACGCGCTCCGGCATCACCAATCATGTTGCTGGTCATACTACATCAAATCGCTCGAGTCAGATTCTTGTGATCAACCACCCCAGGACAGCACCAGAACGTACTAGAGATTACACAGGTTCGATTTGGTCCGCAGCGCCAATCCGATCGCTCGAGCTCCGGCGTCGCCAATCTCGTTGTCCTCCAAACTGATTTGACACAACTCGGGTGAATTATCGTCTTGAACGACACGCGTCCTCGCTATTGTGCCTTACTCAAGCAGCTGCAACTTGCTGTTCTCCTTGAGACCCTTGGCAATCACCAACGCGTCCTCGTCGGTGATTTTGGAGCTCTGGAGGCTGTGGTGAACAAGTCAGAGACTTGGTAGCCATGACCAATGACCACGTCTCAGATTTGAACGATACTTACTGGACCACATTGCCAGCCTTGGCGATTTCAAACAAAACTCGCTGCCGTGGCGTACGTGCAGATGCCATCTGCTACGACAATCAGGGCAGTCAGCAAGGTCTCACCGATGCGAATAATGCCAAGCCACTCCCTCTCCCTCCTCTCCTCTCCTCTCCTCTCCGTCAGTCCAGGACGGCGCAGCCCACTCTTGTATTGCCTTGTTACGCATCGTTCATCGTTCGTCGCCCGTGTCTGGAGACTCCACGACAGAGACGGCGTTCTCCTCGTTCATGAGGCGGGTCTTCCCGGTTCTGAGCCAGCGTGTGATGAGCCACTCTCGCCAACACCACAACCATCGCCAACGTCTACACAAGCGGGATCCATCTGGAGCGAGCTGGATCAGGCGTGTCTAGTGGCAAAGTTGGTGCCTGAGCCTCGTGCGATTGCGTGGACCACGATAAGCGACGAACAAAATTGGGGAATCAATGCAGGTGGTTGTTTCCAAAGATAACTCGTGTTTCATTCCATTCACCATGCGTTGGATTGCGCACCAAGTGGCAGACTGTGTGTGATGAGCCTGTGATGTGTGATGTGTGTTGTGTGATGTGTGATGTGTGATGTGTGTGATGTGTGTGCATCAAAACAGAACAAGCGACCAACAGCAACACCAACCTGAACAAACAAACCAAAGAGAGAGACTGAGTTGAACAAATTAGGTTCAATGTTTGCCCAATGGCTCAGAATTGACCAACATGGCTCAATCTCGGATAACCTTTGCTCTAGATTCTGAACAGCCTTCACAACACGACCGACCTGCCTTATTTCCATTCAATGCTCAACTATGGAAAGCGATGCATTCATTCACTCTTCAAACAACAGAGAATGGCTGGCGCGACCGAGGTCCAACAAACGCTGCAACGCATCGCTGCTCGCAAGGGCGTGCTTGGCGTCATTATTACAACATTCGAAGGTGCAGAAGTGGTGGCAAGCGCGGTTTTGAGGATTGCTGCTGTGTGTCGGGGTAGAAACGATGTTGCATTTTTGTATGGGATGTTGCATTGACCATGGCAAGATGGAACGGGGATCTTGCTGCCAATCAGGCGCTCCAATCATGAGCACGTTCGACGACGAACGCACTGCGCTCTATGCCTCCAAGGTCGCACCACTGGTGCAGACGTCGCGTGCAGCGCTCCAAGACCTCGATGCTCAGGCAAGTCAGCGAGACCGATGCTGCTGCTGCGACCTTGTCACCCAACCCTCCGTCAGGGTGGATCGAAGAGATTGGCGGTGGTGCCGATCGCTTGTCCGTGTCAATGAGTTGGATGAGGCTGAGGCGGAAAGAGAGAGAGCGCAAGATGCCAAAGCGAGAATGCTTCACTTTTGAATCCAACCTCATACACTCACTCCGCACTTGCAATCTGATGTTGCCTATGCTGATAATGATGATGATTGTCATTTGCTTGTGGTCCTATTGGAACGGACCTGCTGTCGGAATTTGTCTTTGCAACAGAATGATTTGACGTTTCTGCGATTGTGGTCCAAAAAGCACGAGATTATCATCGCCCCAGGTTTGTATTTGCACTCGCTGAGCACTGAACGAGCGACAATGATACGTGCGTTCTCTTTATCTGATCTGGCGGGTTGGCTCATGCGCTTGGGTAACATGCAGATCGCGACTTTTTGCTCGTCACCGTTCAAGATCCGTCATCCAACACTGCTGGCAACGCTTAAACGAGTGTGAATCTTCAGTAGTGTTGTGTCCAAGCACATGTGGGGGAAGAGAGAGAGAAAAAATATATTGTTGTGACATGAATCACGAAAAAGCAAACATCTGAACAGACTTTTGACCGTTCTTTACGCCTGGGCTTGCTTGTACTTGATGAAACGTGACAAGTTGAGCTGAACATCAGACAGACGACCAACGGCATCGGAAGGCAGGCTTCGGCGCTCGGCACGGATCTGCACAACACGACAAACACCAGAGCAAAGTGAGGGTCACTTCGGAAACGCCTACAATACAAATAGCTGGTGCTCATACTCGTTGCTTAAACACCGGGGCAATTTGCTGCAAAGTGGCAACAAGGTTTGCATGAGAGATGGCTTGGTTGACTTCCGGCTCGGCGAAGGCGTCGAAAATCACATCCAACGCTTCGGCCACAACCACTAAACTTGCGTCTTCCGTCACAACTGCTAACAGACCCAGCGCAATATCCTAAACAAGTGGACAGAAGCTCCCGTCAGAACACAAGGACAGCCAAGCAGCCCGACAGGACCGCCAAACCCAACAATTCTTATACTCACGCCAAGCATCGCGGCCTGCTCGAATAACTGGGCCAGCACACCCACAATACCAACGACGTTAATTCGCACCGCTTCGTTTTCGCTGGCACGTCCGAATGTGTAGAGCTCGTGGATTTGAGCGGGAGTCGTCTCCTGCGCAACAACGAGGAAACAGTTGAGTCATCAAGCCCTGGGACGCCAACGAGATAGCTGTAGCTTATCAACTTACCAATGGAGCAGTAGGACAGCTTTGCTTTACTCGACGAACAACAGCCCAAAGTGCTGCCGTAATGGAGTCGTGGAGCTCTTCCAGTCCGTAGCCAGTCTTGGATGCAATATTTGCCCGCTCAACCAGCAGCTGCTGCCACAAAGTGCCAATGGTGGGAATGCCAAGACTCTGAGTAGTGTACTCGATGCTGGAGAAGGAGATCAAATTGCTCAGGAAAGACAAGGCGCGGGATTGCACTGTCGCCAGTCGGTCCATCAGAGTGCGACCGATGCGATGCGACCACATTAGCTGAAACAGCGAGGCAGGCACAGTGGAGGCGAGAGTAACAATCTGCGAGACAAACCAGCCAAAGGTGAGCGGAGAGGTTGCAAAGATTAGTCAGTCAAGCGGTCTTCCCAAAAAAAAAAAAACGCGAAAAAAAATCACAAGGCATCTCGATCAATCCAGAAACCATACTCGTTGAGGGATGCCATGCGAATATAGCGCGGCAAGCAACGCCTCGGGCAACTGCTGTTGTTGCTCTCCGGCGCTTGCTTGTTCGATTTGCTCGGCCGTCAGCTCAACTTCTTCATCGACATCGCCTGGGGCGTCTTCAGCGACATCCTCCCAGGTACCATCCTCCGAGCCATCGACGGAGCAAAGGTTGGTGAGCACCTCCAGGGCCATCTGGACCGAGCTGAGCGACGCTTCAACAGCAACTGTAGGCGATTGTGCGTTGGCAAAACGGTGCGGGGTGTTGGCAGCCGCTTCAATCTACGGTGCACGATGAATGGCAAACACACACTCAGTCAGCACCGAAGGGGGGAACACACGGGTCACAAAACAAACAAGACTCGACACGACACAATTGCCTCACCGAGCTCAGTTGAGACACAAGACCAGTGACAGCAGCAATAACATCCTTGGACAAGGCGTACTGAAGCGCATGAAGCACATGGGCTTGAATTGCTGCGTACTGCTCGGCAGGCCAGGCAGTGTGGACGTTTTGCAGGGCGCCAGCGACAACCACCATAAATTGGGACTGAACACCAGTCAAGACTTGAGCATTCGCGTCAGCAGACGTCAACAATACGGTGAGTGTATCGTCAAGAGTGCGAGTAAGCGAGGCGTTGTAACTGAAAGCAGTGAGCGCGGTCGCGCTGTCGTCCGTCACCGTTTGCACGCATTGAGCTGCCACCAGCGCAAGGGTCATTGGAACTGTTTGGAACGTCCCCACCAGCTGTACGAGCAAAGTGATGAGTTGAGATTCATGGAACAGCGCAACGGCGGCTTCAGAATTTTCGCTGCCAAGGCAAAAATGAATGGGTCAACAATGGTGAGTCTCACCAATAGGCGGGAAACGTCAAAGGGTTGGGCTGCTGTACGTACCACATCTGCAGAAGAATGTTGATGAGGTGTTCGAGATGCTCTGCCACCTGCTCTGCAATCATTTGCGTTTCCCGCGCTTGCTCGGCCTGGTCTTCAGAGGGAGCAGCACTTGCCACCAGCGCAGCTGTTTGCGCGTTGGAGACCATGAGTTGACTCGCCTGTATGTGTGCGATCGCAGTCGTAATCGCAGCATGAGCCATCGAAAACAGCGCGGCACCCAATCATTGCATCGCGCAAACTTACAGCGGCTATAGCTTCCATCACGAGCGGGACAAGGCCCATGCCCACAAGAGTTTGGCAACCATCGGGCCCACTCACCAGGCAGATATTGCTATGCATCCAGACAAGCCGATTGGGAAGGGGGGGGACAAGTTGCAGATCAGTTGGACCAACACGATGGACTAACACAAAACAGGCAATCGCTTACCGGACAGCACCAGCTGCTTCAAGACGAACGGCAAGCTCGGGGTCATGGAAGCACGCCAGAATGGCAGGAACGCCGTTGAGACGAACAATTGCTGGGAGCGCTTCAGCGGCGTCGAGCACCAGATGGGCAACTCCGCCGCATGCATACTCACTAACAAACAGCAAACCAGGAGTCAGTGGAAGCAACATCCAGAAGCAACTCCAGCAGCAGAGCAGCAGCACGTGTCACAGGGAAACACCTCCCGAGAATCCGTACCGCTCGCTGGGCTCTGAGCTCGTAAGCAGGGCAAGCAAGTCGGTGATGCCCTTTGGCGTCCCCCGCGCAGTTCCGTCGCGGGCGCCCGCCGATTCGAGGTCGCTCAGTGCGGCCTGCGCTCCCGATGCATGCATGGCGGCGGAGATGGCTGCGGCGGCCGACGAGCCAGCGTTGGACACGATTGGCGCGCCGAACGCGTCCACATGGCTGTCGTCAAACAAGCCCTCCTGGTCCGTGGGCACCGATACGCGGCCTGCAATGGCGCCGGGCACGCTGAGAATGCTGGATCCGAGCGCACTGCTGCTGCTGCTGCTGCTCGCGGCGGCGGCGGCGGCGTCGCCTGCAGTCCCGTCCAGCAAGAGTGCGGGATTCTCGTCCACATGTGAGGAGTGCGTCTCCAGCTGCTGCTGCTCATCGCTCTCGGACTGCGCCTGGGCCGACTCGATCGTAATGAGGCCTGCTGGGGTTTGTGCCATGTTGCGAGCCTTGGTTCGTTGGACGGGGAGCTTTCCCATTTGGACAACCGATTTGGGAAGACAAGTCAAAGAAAGTAGTCTTGAAAGGAAAGAGTGAAGAGATCAAGATGATCAAAGGGGGAGAAAGCTGCTCAGACAAACCGCAAAATGTGAGAGAACACTCAAAGCATCAAAGAATGTCGATACGGTCAGATTTTGCTCAAGTTCAGGGGAATGGGGAAGAGGCGAACAGAGTCGTGAGTGAGCAAGAAAGCTGGGATTGACAAAACTTGCATCAATACTGTACTTTGGATTTGTTACATAGCCTTTACACCACAAGCATACACACAAATAGCGGGGGCGATAGTAGGACATGGAAAGGTATCCGACAACACACAGGCACTCGCTACGCGCTACATGCACCATCGAAACGACAGGCTCCTTAAGCAAAGACGCCAAACACGGCGAGGACGAGCATGCACAGGGCCAGGCCGGAGGAAGCAATCAGACTGGAAGCAGCACTGCCTTCGACAGAGCCGGTTTGAGTGATAGCCGGGCCAGTGTTAGCCTTGGACGTGGCCGAAGCGTTGGGAATGGAGGGAATGTTCGACGCGCTGCCGGACGCCGTCGCGGGCTTGGTGGCAATCGCGCTGGAGGCGCCGATCGAAGAGAGCGGAGGGGACCACGTCTGACCAGTGCAGCCGTAGTTGAACTCAAAGTGAATGCGATCAATCAGCACCTGGCCGTTGAAGCGAAGGTGAAGCGTGTTGGTGGCGCCGTCGCCAAAGTTGAGCTGGCTGACGGGCACATCGACCGAGCGGTGAACCCACTGCTCGCCAGCAGCGCCGTTGGTAAGGAAGTAGCGAATGGTCTCACCGCCCGGCAGGTTAACAAAGGTGGTCTCCGAGTTGAGGGCAAACGACACGTTACCAGTCACATTGTCGGTGGAGCAAGTAACCGCGCCGTGATACAGGCTGCCGTCCTTGCGCCAGCCGCTGCCGTTGGGGAGCATGCGGTAAAAGTCTGCCGTGGAAGGGGCGAGGGGCGCGGAAGGCGAAACAGGAACGGCAGTCGCACTCGGGTCGGCAGTAGCTGAAGTGAGCATGGTCGAATTGCCCACGGTGGAGTTGCCAGAGTCTTGCGGGGGAGTCACAGTGTCGTTGAACGAGTTGGGATTGTTGTTGTTGCCGGGAACACCAGCGCCGTTCGGCAGCAGTAGCTCACCGAGGTTGATGTTGGAGCAGCGGTAGTTGCGAATGTCGTACACGAGGCGGACCGACTCGATGGTTTGACCGGCGGGCACGGTGGGGACTTGGATGGCAACGTCCACAAGACCGTTTTCGGCGACCTTGGCAGTCTGGCACCAATCATAGCCGGCACAGTAGGCGTAGCACTTGAACGTGCAGTTCTCAAACTGGTAGCGGTCGAGATTGACGTTGGCCAGGTTGTTGAACGGCTCTTGGCCTGCATAGTCGATGGCACGCAGATCAAATCCAGTCAGACCGGACTGCTTGGGGACATTTTGAATGCTGCCAGTGATCTTGGGCCAGATTTCGACGCGGCCATGCTTGAGCGGGCTCGCTTGGAAGCCCTTCCAGAGAAAGTCGCGAACCTTGCTCGCCCAGCAAACAGCAGCTGGGTGGATGTCAGTCTGGTACGCGGTGCTGATGAGGTGAACGTGCACCTCCGACCAAGGGACAACGACAGGGTGCGACTGCAAGAGAACCAAGGAGCCACCGTTCAGTGCAGCCCAAACCTCAATCCTGGACGAGAAATAGCGGACTTGGATGTGGTCGAGCTGACCCGCCTTCGTTGGCGAAGTCTTGTACAAGTTTGTCGGCACGCCAGAGCTGTAGTCGATGGGAAGAGACGATTCGACCTTGTTGCCGCCAATCGAGCTTTGAATCTAACAGAATGCGCCAAGATAGGAAGATGGGACAACGAGGGTGAGGTGCTCATCTAGCGCAGGCAAGCAAGCAAATCTCTAGAAGCAGCCCTCGACAAGTTCCCCCCCCCCCAAAAAAAAGGGAGCGAGCTGAAACGACAGACAAAGCGATCTTCATCAGTTACCAGCAGATGCGCCAACCAGGAGCTGTTGCTGTTGCAGGCATCATCGCTGGTGCCGATGGCAATCAGGTTGATCGAATCTTCGGCGGGACGACGACCTTGACCCGAGGGGCATGCTGTCGAGGGAGTGGTTGTAAGAAACGCATCTGACAAAGGCATGTCGCGAAAATGACAAACAACCCGAAAGTTTGGTGGGTACGTACTTTGTTGAGCAGTGGACTTGCAGGAGGCATCGGCTGCGGAAGGCATGACGGTAAACTCTGCACCAACAACCGAGGCGTTGCCAGCGGGGGTAATGGAAACTTGCCACTGTGAACAGCAGTGAGGCAATGGTTTGTGGTTTGGGACAATAATCATCATGGCATCGTTGCTGTTCCTGTCACTTACGAACTGGCCAAGAGACACATACATCGACGTGTAGAAATCAATCACGCCAGGCTTATCGTCGGAGATCAACAGGGGGTTGCGGAGACGAGCACTTGGTGCGAGAAACGACAAAACCAAAACATGAGCACAGTGTGTGTGCGTGTGTTGTTCATGCGCGTCTTGCCTTTGTGACTCACCTCGTAATGGACTGGTAGTCGGTACGCATCACACCAACACCAGGACCGCCGTCGCCGCCAATCACGTTTTGTGTGTTCACCTGAACGCCGTTGGTGTTGGACCACGAGCTCGACTTGTGCAGGTCAATGTGGCCACCGTTGCCGCGAGTGTTGTTGAACACATCTGCAATTGAACGATGTATCAAAGAGTAGGTGGAGTGAGTCGTGAGTTGAGGTGACAAGTGCGTAGCAGCGCGAAAGTAAGGAGAGGAAACTAGGAACAAAGAACAAAGAACACCAAAAAGCACTTGGATGCTAAGAATTCAACTTGAAACTTCCAACATAAAATAAAAAAAGGGGGGAGGATATACGACAGCTATTTCATGCCACACAGCTTTTTGTGCGTGCCACACTGAGACCAAAAAATCTACCGCAAGCCGTGTGGGAATCGGATTCCCAGCGTTCATTGTTTTGTTTTTGGCGATCGGGGTGTTGGCAGACGTCGTTTCTTACCCGCAATGTTGCCCTCCACAGCACCGACGACTGCCACAAAATCCGTGTCGAGACGAGTATCCCAGGCATCTTCATTCCAGAACACAGAGGTGAAGATGGAGCCGGCGCGGTTGAGCGTCAGGGCGTGCGAACCGCGGAAGACAAAACCGTCAACAAACGAGCAGTTGGCCAGGCCAGGCGTTGCTGATGGCAATGCGGCGCCAGTGGACGATACAGCAGACGACGCGATTGCCGGAATGGAGCTGCTGGAATCAATATTGCTGGCAGGCACGCTGGAAGAGAAGGAGGAGGAGTCGGCAGGCACTGAGAGGATGGAACTAGAAGCTGCGGCAGCTTCGGACGAGGACAAAACAGGGAGATCGGTGGTTGACTGTGCGAGGGCGGTCGCCACCAGCACGAGCACGCCAAACACGGTCCAATATGAGCGTTGCATTTTGAGAAGAAGAAAGAAGAGGAGATGGCGGAAAGCACGGACGAGGCAAGCAGGAACAAAGATAGACTGAATGGAAACTCCCTCGAAAAGGGAATGGGAGGTTAAATACTCCTCCTCCCAGCAAGGACTAGAAGCCGGTCGCACCCTTTCTGCCCCGGAATGTCACATTCTGAAGTGTAGCGTGGGAAGATTGCCCGATTTGAGAAAACAGCGCCTTGGTAAGATACGTTGATGATGGCGTGGGAGCTCACACCCACACCCCAAATCCCAAAAAAAAAAATCAAAAAAAAAAAAAAAACAAAGTAACCAATTTAGCACCATAGAATCAACCATAACAGTGAAACGATACACGGAATATCGTGTTACAAAATAAGCAGAACTGTTCAGTCATGCATCCGTTCCAGGTCTCAGATTTGGTCGACGAGGGGCGTGGGAATGAAAACAAAAACAAGATGGTGGGCGGGTCCGATCTGCAATCGGAATGGTTTTCAAAAAAGGCAATCACTTTACAGTAATGCCTGAAAGGTAACCAGCAAGCATGCACCGTTTAACGGGCCAGCTTATCACCCACTGCTGTTCATCCGGATGACGAGAAGAGCCGTCGGGAAGGCGGCGGTGGTGAGTTTGGCTTTTAATCCGACTCAAGCACACACCGTGTCTCCGTCCAACCCTCGCACTGCCCCCCCCCATTCTATGCGCAGACACCATCTTCATCAAGCAGAGGGAGGCCCCCACCACAGCGGCTCTCGGGGGTACACCCGAACGATCGGCGAGCCACAAACAATCCAAAAGCACAACAAAAAACAGACATGTCAGTTTTGCACGCCTTCCCGTATCCGTCCTTGGGAGCCATCTCGGCGCTTCGAAGCCACTCGTCCCTCTGTTCCATGCCAAGACGCCACTCGTCAAGTAGAGTAAGGCGCCAACAGCAGTGGTCTGCGAAGAGCCGTAAAGAACAGTCCAAAACCAATTGTCGATCACAAACCGTTGCCGATTCCCCGCCAACCAGCTCGCCTTGCCTTCCCGTACTGTCCAATAAGAGGCCCTTCCTCTAAATTTCGTGTGCACTGTAGCGCGTGTCGTTGCTAGCCACTTTCCAGTGGGATTCACTGCTGAAACAGCTGCCGTTGGCGCACGACTCGTTAAAATTCCGCCATCGGACGGCGATCGCCAGCGAATTTTGCAACCCACAACATTTTACACTTTTGCCCTCCCGGCTAAATCAATGCACTGCTGTTCGCCATCACAATAAAAAAACAATTCCTTGATCAAGCACTGTACAGGCTGCTGGTTGCAGCGTCAGAGCAGTTTTGTTTGTGTTGGTTTCCGGATTTGCGTAATCCCAGGGCAACCAAACGAGCATAAAAACACGCAGTCTTTTTCTTACATTCGCAGGTAACTACAGCGTACGTATTTTAACAGACAATAAGCACAACCATTTCATACCTTCGGTTGCAATAGCTGTGTTGAAGAAGGTGTTTTGTGATGACAAGTTATGGAAACTGAGTCATCAGTCCTTGTTTTTGTGTGTGCGTTTGGATGGTTTCTCTGTCCGCTGTTTTGTCTGCTTTCTTGCGTCTGCTGTTGGCCTTTTCTCTTCCAGAACACGTTTGTGGCGGCGTTAACGGCAACCCATGTGGACAGAGACGAGCGATTTGTCGGCGTTTTTTTTTTTTTTTTTTTTTTTTTCGGATGGGAGTTTTTGTTCGATTTGACCAGCGCTTTTGGTCGCCAGTGTTCGCAACTCAAGCGGCTCGGCACACCGGACTTTTTTTGGGTTGCAGCACTCGCAGACTACTTTTTTTTTTTTCTTGGGTTGGTGGTTGCGCTCACTTGTCCTTGCTGTTCATGCAAAAGTCGTGTGCAAAAGGGTTTTTTTTTTTGTTTTTTTTTTTTTTTTTGGCGCCCGATCGCTGAGATCGATCGCGATTTGCGGTTCAAGTGCGAGGCGGCCGTCATGCATCAGGCATTGGGGGATGGCTGCGCTGCCGCTTCGTTCCCTCGCGACTTTTATCGAGCAACGTGGTACAACGATTGTTTTGGCCGTGGTTTGAGGGGTGCCGTGGTCGCTTGTTTGGCGGGAACGAACGACAGATTATTTTTTTCTTTTTTTGCTTTTTTTTGCTTTTTTTTTTTTTTTTTTTGCTTTTCAGATGCGTGGTTTGTGGAGCCTTTCGTCGCTAGGGATCGACGTGTGCTGGACTCTATACTTGACCGATCGCTACGTTTGTGTGCATGGCTGATTTTATTGCGTGGCTGCAAAAACCAGGCCGTTGGCAAGCCGGTCGAACGATCGAAGGAGAAGGTAGCGGTGAAGGATTGGCGGTTTTGATTTTTCATTTTTGATTTTTTGATTTTGTTGTATTTTTTTGGATGAATAACTCATGCTGCTTCCAAGCTCTCGTAGCTTTACCATCCTCATCGCTGAGCGGCGGTGGTTGGTGGGTCGAGGACTACTTGACTGCTTGAATGTGGCTGGGGTGTCGGCGATTTTGGAGGATTGGGAGCGTTGTGGTGCTGGTGCCGGAAAGCCGATGCTCCGTCGATCCGAAGATTGTTCCCTTTTTCCCTCCTGCCACTCCCACCCCCCTCCAAACACGGCGTCGGTGATTGGAGCAAATGGCCTCTCGTTGTGCTCGGTTATTCTTCTCTCTCTCTCTCTCTCTCCTCTCTCTCTCTCTCTCTCTCTCCTTGCGATGCATGTCATCCCTGGTTACGCTGCAGAGAGAATACAGGCCTGTCATGGCGACCTTTTTGGCTGTTCCTCCTTTTATTTGTATTTTGCATTTGTATTTGTGGTAATGGTTTGTCATTTTCCTTGTTGCAAAATTGGGCCTCGCTTTCTCGCCTGAAGCTACGGGCTCCTTCTCCGTTCGTACTTTCACCTCGACTTGGGCAACCTTAACCTTTTCGACATGTTTGTGGGATTTTCCATCCAGCCCAAGCATTGGCTCAAAAAACAAAACAAAAAAAAACCATGATGCAGTTGATTGTTTTTTTCCACACTCTTGCCGATTTGACACTTGGGTGTTCACAAAAATATGTGTGATATCTGCTTTAGGCGGGGTGTAAACTATTCACAAATACCTCCAAGCCCCTTACTTGCATCGGGTGACGACGAGCGACAATTGGCCCTAATAATTCACAAAGTTTCATTCCACTCACGCTGGTTCGCTCGATTCTCGATTGTCATACCTTTTCCTTCTTCTAAATTTGACAATGTTGCAGGTGCACCGGGGTTTTTTCTTCTCCTTGTGTCAGTCCATTCTCCTATTGACCAAGCACAAAAGTCTGCCGACTCAAAGCCACGGCTCCTTGATTCTTTCTTGTGCTTTCGACTTTCCTCCATTGTTGGCCAAGCGATCGAGTCTTTGTACGTACACACCGTTGTCTCCTCTTGTCATGTACTGTGTCTCCTTCACCGTGGCAATGGGACACCCTCGCGGCGGCGGTGTCTCGATTGTGAGCGTTAGGCGAGAAGCGCCAATCGCAAAAAAAAAAAAAAAAATCAACGCTGCTGCGTACTTGTCTGTACCTTAACTCGTTTTCTTGTCTTTTCCGACCGATTGTTCCAATGTTCTGTGACGCGTCTCGTCTCACTTGCCCATGTGTGGATGACGATATCGTGGGTGGATGTATGCTATCGGACAGACTCGAGTACGGATTTCCCAGCTTCTGGTGCACCTCAAGGTGCCATTCTTTCCCAAAAGTTCCAAAACACAACGCCCCGTCTCGTCGATTTTCGTCCTCCCAACGCACTTTTGTGTCAAGTCGCTGTCTCATCGACAACTTGACCACTCGGACTTTCGTCGCAATTTCGCCCGTCGCACGATAGTTTGCACCACAGCCTGCTGCCCGCCCGCCTTCCTCATCTCGCTTGTCACCGGGCTTTGTACTATAGCGTTCACTCGCCCGCTCGTGGCCGTGCTGTCCTCTAGCATGTCTCGGCATTTTACTCAATCAGACACACAACCAAGCCAAGCAGATCGTCAATCAGACACGCAACCCATCACCAACGACAACGCCAGTCGAAATCAGATGTTTGCAACCTCCTTCCCTGCTACGTTCGACTTTGCGTCAGAGTTCAACGTGTGGTCCGAGACATGTCGCTCAGGCGGCGGCAAGTACCGCTCTGTTGGTGACAATCCATCGTACCAACTCGCACAACACATTGCAACACTGTTCGGTGAAACACTCCCGTCGAGCGCCGACTCCCAGCTGCCAAGCTGGAAAGTGTTTGCTACTCAGTTGCTACTCTTGCCTGTACTGGGACTCTATATTGCGCAGCTGGATTCGGTACGATGCACTGTTGTTTCCAACAAATGGTTGGTCACGCATGTTGTTGCTGAACTCACGTTTGTTTGCTGGCGTCTATGCTTTTTTTTAGAATATTATCCTTATTACTAGTGTGGCAATAGCCTTGTTGTTTGCTGTCTCTCTTTTCCTGGCGCTGCTGCGCTTCCCAATTGCAAGCGTTCGATGCTCGGCATTCGGTGTTCTGTTTTTGTGTCATTGGAGCGTTCTGGCTCTTGCCCGTCAATCTAACTTCCTGGGATTGGTAAGAGTCGAGCAGTCACTCATGGTGTGCGCTTTGGTCTGCAACACTGACCGTGTGATTATCGCGGGGGGTGGGCTTTTAGATGCTCTTCTGGCCTCTCGTCCAGCTGTTCTTCGTGGAGTCGAGGCGAAAGCTCTTGCAGATTGCTGCATTGAGCTATTCATTACTGCTGGCCGAGTTGGTTGTCACCATGCCTAGCGTAAGTTTCGCGTCAAGGTACATGGCGGCGCTGGAACCGCTCTTTCTGGCCGCATCAGCGCTATTACTGTTTTCAAGTTCCCCAAAGAGTGACCAGAGTCGCACGCATGCGCCTCGTGTAAGTCGTGCTCGGGTGGATTGCCCTGGTAGCAAGCGAGTCTCGAGTCTTTCCAACTCACCCCTTTGGTCGCTTCCAGTTGCCGATAGATGCCATGCAACAGCACCAAATCCTTGAGGCGATTCTACAATCGAGTGGAGATGCTCTGGCCGTGTTCAACGCCACTAGCGATGTTCTCTGCTCGAGCACCAAGTTCCAGCAGCTGGTGGGCAGCGCCTCCCACCCTGGTGCGCTAATCAGCGACAGTGTGAACGCCGCAACTACGGATGGCCAGGAGGCCCCGATCTTTCCAAGCCCCCTCGATCTGCTCGAGCCTGAAAGTCACAGGCAGGTTCAGCGGGCCATCACGAGCATGTTTGAAGCTGGCTCCGACTACAACACGGCCGACCTCGATCTGTGCAAGGTGAAAAGCGAGGAGGCGCTTCCCTTGCATGTGCGCAGCACGCTCTTGCCGCCCCTCAAAGCCGGCTCCTCGGGCTTGATGCTGGCCATGTTTGACGATCTAGCTCCCAAAAACCGACTCGAGTCTGCCTTGCTTGAGGCGCACCGATCCAAGCACGCCAACGAGTCCAAGAGCCGCTTTCTCGCCAACATGAGGTTTGTTAGTCTCGGTTTTGCGCAGCGCTGTTGCTTGTGTTTTTCGTTTGCGTTTGCGTTTGCGTTTGCGTTTGCGTTTGCGTTTGCGTTTGCGTTTGCGTTTGCGTTTGCGTTTGCGTTTGCGTTTGCGTTTGCGTTTGCGTTTGTGGTTATTCTTTTTTGCTTTTGCCTTTGTGTCTGTGTGTATTGTTGGTTTGCTGCGACTCACTTGTCCTCCCCTACTCTCTATTGGCTACACCATAGTCACGAGATTCGCGTTTGGCTCTCTGGCATTCTTGGCATGATACACCTGCTGGAGGGCACACAATTGACAGAAGAGCAGCACGAGTTCCTTGGCACGATCAAAATGTCGGCACAAATATTGCTGACCGTCATCAACGACATTCTGGACTTTTCCAAGATCGAAGCAGGCCAGCTCACGATCGAGCGCGTCGAATTTGACATCTTCAACACGATCGAGATGGTGGTCGAGCTCTTGTACCCAAGTGCCGGCAACAAGAATCTGCTGTTGCAGTGCTTTATCGATCCTCGCATCCCGACCAAGGTCCTTGGCGATCCTAGTCGTCTCCAGCAAATCCTGGTCAATCTTCTTTCCAACGCCATCAAATTCACCAAGAAGGGCCGTGTATTCCTCAAGTGTACTCTCGAGAATGAAACATTGGAAAATGCCACCGTCTTGTTTGAGGTAACAGCGAGCGACGTATTTGTTTTTTATGGAAACATTCTTTCGTGTCGTCTGGGTTGTTTTTGGCGTTGGCGATGTGGGGATTTTTGCTGTGGTGGGGGTTTTTGGGTGTATCTGCTCTGTACCTTGACTCTGATTGGTTTGATGGTGCTGCTTGTTTGGTCCTATAGGTACACGACACTGGTATCGGGCTGACGCCCGACACATTGGCACGACTGTTCCGCCGGTTTTCTCAAGAGGACGCCTCGACGACGCGCAAGTTTGGAGGAACTGGCCTTGGGCTTGTCATCTCAAAGTCGCTGGTCGAGTTGATGGGCGGCAGCATTGGCGCCGACAGCGTCAGTGGCAAAGGCAGTCGCTTTTGGTTCCGTCTGCCGGTCGGTGTCGTGGCCGAGCAAGCAGATACCGATGATTCGAATGCCGATGTCAATGCTGGCTTCTTCCGCCAGACCTCTCCCCTCGACGATGCGTCCTCGCACTCCAAGTCCTCAGACTCGACAAGTGGCACAATGTCCTTGCCGCACAGCCTTCATTCGTCGCAAGGCGATCTGATCGCAAGTGTGGAAGCGGAGCAACCTGAATCATCGCTCAACGAGTCTGGAACGCTCCCCCAGGTGCCAGCAGCACCCATGCTTGCTCCCGCGAGTACACCTCCTCGCTCCCGATCAGCGTCGCGAAGCAGATGCGCCATCTCGCCAATTCCCGGCCGCACTCCCCCGCGGGTCATTGTCGTGTCGAGCGCCGAGTACATTCGAGATATTCTTGTGCGCTACTTGGATGCCTGGCATCTTGATCATGCCGAATGCAGTACGCTGGGTGAGTGCGACAAGCTCATTCGCAGCTGTTTGCAACAACAAGACACGGGCCCCTCCAATGCTTTTGTCTCGGCAGACTTTGCGCCCTCAGCTCGCCAAACTCTGATTGGCAGCGACAACGCGACCGGGGTGCTCTCGTCTCGCGAACGCTCGCTGCTCGCAGAGACGATGAACGAGCACGACAAGTACTTTGATCTGGTGGACGCTTCGGTTGAGCACCATTTCGTGAAGCAGCCATCGCGCCAATCCGATGCGTCCCACCCCCATGCACCACCATCTCGCCCAGCCCCGGGTCCCGCTGCGGACCCGGGTGCAAGTCATGGTCACATCATTGTCATTCTGGACTGTCGCGTCGGTATGTCCACATTGGTGCAGACGCTCGGGGAGCGATATGTTCGTCTCCGCAAAACTTCCAAATCAGAGCAGGAGGCCACTCTCAAGAGTGACTCTGAGGCGTCGATGCCACTCACGTCAGGAAGCGACGTTTCACTTGACACTGCTGTGGCCAAGCCCATTCGGCCTTCGCATTCCTCTACCTCGTCGCTATCCGATGAAGCTGAAGGCGGTGATCAAGATCATGTCCCCTCCATTGAGCGCTCCCCTGGACACTCCCAGAACCGCTACGACGACCTCTTGGAGCCTCATGACGACTCGCTGTGGGCGTTCCTGGCGCATCCCAACGTTTTTCCCTTGTTCCTGTTCTCGTCTGAGCACCCAGTGCCGCCCCTCCCCCTGTATAGTTCCAACCACCGGTCGTTGGTGGGTCCGTTGCGTCAGTCGAGCATTTTCAATGCCATCAATGGGTTTGCCATGCAGGACTGCGCGCTTTGTGCGCCAAGGCCATCACACTCCAACTCGGCCCCCCTTGACGCGTCTGCGTCCTTGTCTTCGTTAGATCCGGACTCCCGCGCTTTGCGAAAGGTTTACCGTTGTGGTTCCATGCTGAATTCCGGTTTGGCGCATGTTTCCGCTCCAACCAGCACGGCGGCGGTCAAAGCCGCACCATTCCCGAGCTCCCCGCACTCACCATTAGCCGTGCCCGCGTCCGTTGTTCCTTCCTTCATTTCTGCTGCCGCTGATGCGTCGAACGCCACAACGCTCACCACATCGGCGCAGCTTGAACAGCGAAAGCACGACCGTCGCCACCGCCGACACCCGAAACGTGATGAGCATGCTGAGGCGATCGCCGAAAGTCGCGACTCGAGCAAGTTGTTGGCAGATGAGACTACTCCAGGCTCATTGGAGACCCCGCCCTCTTCAGCCGATCTCGGCGTCCACGAACACAGGCGTCGCCACTCGGTAAACGACAATTTTGCTCGCTCCGAGTCCGCGGCTGGCGATGCTCAAGAAGCAACAAGGGTGGATGCTGACGTTGGGTCTGCGCCGCCTGCTCCCTTGCCATCCCCTCCAGCCGTGCATCTGGGCCCGACTGCTTCGTTCACGCCGACTGACGTGGCCACTGATCTTGGCAGCCCGCGATCGATCGCCGGTTCTATGGGTTCGGCTCCGATCGCCAACAAGACGAAAATCTTGCTGGTCGAGGACAATTACGTCAACCAGAAGGTCATGTCCACTATTCTGGCCAAGGCGGGCTTCCACGTTGATGTTGCCAACCACGGCAAGGAGGCGCTGGCCATGCTCACCAAGTCGCGCGAGCATCTGCTCCGCCACTCTTCCGACTCTGCATCGGCTCTGCCAGCTAAGTGGACGGACTATGCCGTCGTGTTGATGGATTGCCAAATGCCCATCATGGGCGGCTATGAGGCGACGCAACACATCCGCGCGATGGAGCAGTCGCTTATCGCGACCAGCGCTGGAACGCCACTACTACGTTTGCCCGTGATTGCCATGACTGCAGAGGCCATGGAAGACAATCGCGCAACTTGCCTTGCGTCAGGCATGTCCGATTACATGTCCAAGCCAGTGAGTCAAGCTACTCTCTGGCGCAAGCTGCAATTCTGGATTTCTTCCACCGAGGCCATCGTGAATGAAGCCGCCCCATCTGTTTCCAGCCTGTCGGTACCACAGCAGAACATCCACCACTTTGATGCTTCTGCTTCTTCTCGACCGTCTTCGCCATCGCACATTGCGCGTCCGTCCTCCCCCTCGCACCGACCGCGCCAACAATGACGAGCGGAGGCCGGGGGGTTTTTTGTTTTTTCCAATTGTTTCTATGTCCTTCGTAGAATTCGCCCCCAACCCTTCTTATTTTAATTCACAAACTTGTAATAACTGTCCGTTTGCTGTAAAATACAACACATCGAATCATCAGATCATGTATATTTTTTTTTCTCAGTCTTCCAGCTGTTGTTTTCGCGTTTGAATGCAATTGAAGATCAGCACTCGATTGGTGCTGCTGGCGTTGCTTGCGTTGTCACTCGCACTCGTCGCAGCCCAAGACGCTACGCTCATTGCCAAGCCGAACGCAGCCACTGCGACGACTGAGCACAACGCGCACGACGCAGCACACGCGCGAGACAAGTACGCCGATCCAGGCCACGAAACAGAATCCGAAATCGCCGACACCACTGCTGCTGGTGCTGCTGCTGCTGCTGCAGATGCCCGCGGAGGTGATACTCCACCACCACCAGCATCCACAGACAGCGATGGCGTGCGGGACCATGGTCGCGGAGTCGTCCTTCGAGTGGCCATTGTCGGCGGCGGGATTGGCGGATCGGTCACCGCCAAGTCGCTGAGAGAGTCACCCGCCTTTCGTTGAGACGCCACTACGCCCGATATCAGCATCATGATGTTTGAACAATCGCATCGAGTACAGTTCCAATGAGTCCTGCGATCGCTGAGCTTTTGATCCGAGTTTGTGCGTTTTGGCTCACCAGATTTCCGTTTGACCCAACAATTTAGCTCTGTGGACGCCTTACAAGCTATCTCGTCAATGGCACCGTGGTTGAGTTTGGAGGTGCCATCTTCCATGAGACGAATAGCATCATTGACACCATCCGATCTGAGTACGGTTTGCAACGCGTCAAGGCGTTTGACGACGACGGATTTGGTGTGTGGAACGGCACCCATTTCGCCGTCCGCGCCACAGATCTGAGGTCAGACAGCATGCTTGATGATGGGCATGGTGATTCCGAACTGATGGGAAGGGCTGTTTTGCGACTTTTCGCTGAAATGCTCTTTTTTTTTCTTTTCTTTTTTCTCAAACTGACATGCTTTTTTTTTTTGTTGTTGTTGTTGTTTTGGGATTCACCGATTGCTGTGTTTCGGGCTGAACAGTCTATGGACCAAACTTGAGCTTCTATGGCGCTATCGGTTTGCGCCAGTCTACGCGCAGTGGGAATCACAAAGCTTTTTGCGCTCATTCAAGAAACTGTACAAGACACCCTTCCATTCCGTCGAAGAGCTGCTCGACATTGCCAAGATTGATCCGCTTGCACGCGTCTCTATGGCGGATTGGCTCAAGACGCACAAGTACAACAAGCAGTTTGGCACGGAACTGGTTGAAGGCGCAACCCGAATCAACTATGGGCAAAATTTGCACATGTCTGCGCTTGGTGCCTGGGTATCTCTCGTTGGCAGTGAGGACTCTGTGTATGCCGTTGTGAATGGCAACGAGCAGTTGTGCTACAAGATTGCCGGCATCGATCACGCGCCCGTGCAAGCGTCAGCAGGGATTCCGACGGGAACGCTACCGCCAGTCACCAGCGGCAAACTCCAGACTGTGCGCACCGCCACAGTTCGTGCCATTTCCAGTCGCCCGAATGGTCGTTATTCCGTCACGTATGAGCGCGGCGGCCACACTGTTCAGAGCACATTCGACGCGGTCGTGATTGCTACGCCTCTCGTAAGCACTGGTGGATGATGTGTCACTGTTGACCAGGAGAGAGATTGTTCCACTTGCCTTGTGATTGTGATGCGTCTCTCTCTGACGAAATTGCTTTTGCGTGTCAGGAAGCAACAAACATCACGTTTGAAGCCATTGACCTCCCACCCAGCACGAGTCAGAGACGCCCGTATCAACGCACGTTTGTAACGGTAGGAAATTGTACACTTTGTTCTGGCTGTTGGTGCCTTGCAAGGCGCGCCACAGGTTGGGACTGACTTTTTGCGTTCGTTCCCTGTTTTCTGTTGTTTTTTTGTTTTTTGTTTGTTTTTGTTTTTTTTTTTCTCGCCGTTCGCTCCCAGATCGTGCACGGAGAAGTCAACCCAGCGTACTTTGGTCTCGAAACGCCGAGGCAGCTTCCCGCCACTGTCATTACGACAGAGCCACAGTCCAACGCACCTGTTGCTCCTGCCGAGCCAAACTCGATTTCGGGAGTCACCACCAGCCAACTTCCCTTCACCAGCTTCTCGCTGCTTCATCGCCGAGACAACGTGACATCCGACGGCACTCGCTTTGAAGGTGTTTACAAGTTCTTTAGTCCCGTCGAGCTCTCTGCTGCGCAGATCGCGCCCGTGTTCCGGGTTGTGCGCGACGTTTTCCGCAAAAACTTTGCAGCCTATCCCATCCTGTCCCCCACGCCCAGTGAAACCCCGTTCCCTTCCATACGTGTGCAGAAAGGACTGTATTATCTGAATGCGATCGAGTCCGCGGCGTCTGCAATGGAGATGGAAGCATTGTCCGCTCGCAGCATTGCCAAAATGATTGAGGAGGATTTTCTGAAATGGTGAGGCGAACCAAATCTTTATTGATGTGGCTTGTGTAGAGTAGTAGTGCGAGCTGACTGATTTCTATTGACGCAGAGGTTGATTCGAGCAGAGCGCCGGGGTTTTGAGTGTTTTTGGGAGCGACAATACTCGCAAACACAAATCGACGTCAAACCCGAGAATAAAAGACATTTTGTGAGACTCCTATGTAAATATATTTCATATTTCGTTAGGCTTGCACACCAAACGGAACCTTTTGCCCAGCAATACCAGCGTACAGATTCTGCACGGCACGCATGCACATTGCATTGCGAGTGTTGAACGTGGCACTGCCAATGTGCGGAAGCACAAGACAGTTATCGAGGGTCAGGAGAGGATGCTTTGGAGGCAGTGGCTCGGGTGAGGTGACGTCGAGACCAGCTCGGGCGATGCGACCCGTGGTCAGTGCTTCGTAGAGCGCGTCCTGGTCGACAATTCCGCCACGTGCCGAGTTGACAAATGTTGCAGTCGGCTTCATCAAGGCAAAGCGCTCCTTGTTGAACATGAGCTTTGTGTCGTCGGTCAAGGCACAGGTGGCAATCACGAAATCGCTTTCGCGCAAGAGCTGCTCGAGCGGCGTGTGCTGCGGAATCGGCGACGACGAGATGCTTCCATCGTCGTTCACAAAGCGGACTGTCGCGTGATTGACGAGTGCCTGAGCCGCAGGATTACGACCGGAATACAACAGCTTGCCAATGTTGAATCCAGCGAGACGACGCGCGACGGCCGCTCCGATGCGACCCAATCCAACAATGCCGACCGTGCTTCCCGAGATATCAGCGCCGCACATCCAGTTAATATGCCACGGACCCCAGCGACCGTTCTTGACGCAGGCAGCAGCGGTCGGCAGCAGCCGCGCAGTGGACAGCAGAAGGCTCACTGTGAGATCGGCGGTCGCGTCGGTGAGCACGTCGGGCGTGTTCCCGACCTGCACCCCGCGCGCAGTGCATTCGTGGACTCCAACGTGGTCGTATCCGACCGAGACAGTGCTGACGACCTTGAGCTGCGGCCCTGCAGCGTCGAGCAGCTCGCCGTTGATCTTGTCCGACAGCGTGATGAGCAGGCCACTCGCACCAGCAGCACGGCGCAGCAGCTCTGGCCGCGGCATCGGTCCGCTCGACGCCCACTCGTCCAGGATGTACTTGCCCTCCCTGTGTCGGGTTTGTTCATGTTTGGTTGTTTGGAAGTCAAAACGTCAAAAACAGCCAAACCATTTCCATTTTCTCAGAGCTCGGTCACTGCGAGTCCACTGAATATGCCCAGGATGGGGACGACGACGACGATGGGTACAATATGGATGGAGTGAGACTTACGCAGCACCAGAACGCAACAGCGCCATTGCAGGCTCAGTCAGTTGGCGCGTCACTAAAATTCGCTGCATTTTGGTGATTCAAGTTTGAAACAACAGCAAACAAACAAACAAACAAACAAAATGACTGAGCAACAAACAAAATCTGAGACGATTTTTGCTTTACTCGATGAGGTTGATGTGAGAAGCGTCTCCCTGAACTGGGACGGTTCATGCAATGTTCATTCAGAGCAAACAGCAACATCAGCAATCGATCTTGTGGTTGAGCCTCATTTCCCCAAGTCCTCCTTTTTATTATTATCACTCTTGTATTATTCTTATTCTTACCAGTCCCCTCGTTCTGGATGAGGCGGCAATGACGATGGCTGCCAACTCGTGCTGCGACGCGCCGACGCTCGAGCTCATCCACGACACTGGCGAAACAGTAACCGAGCGCCCGTCCTTCATTCTGTTCAGCTTCTCAGTGGCTCGGTGTCTGACCTTTCATGTGTGTTTGGCTTGATCCTGGAGTAGGTCTGCGTCCAGTGCGGCGCGGTCGTCGATGCAGGCAGCCTCGTTGCGGCGCCGTGTGAGCGCATCCCTCGCTTTGCATCGTCGGGTCTGGCTGCAAGTGCGCGCCATCATGCTAGCAGTAGTGGTGGTGGTGGTGCTGCTGCTGCAAGTGGCGGTGGTGGCGTTGCGGCGGACAGTGCTTTGGTAATGGTCATCGCTCAGTCTCAGTCGCTCAGTCGCTCAGTCTCTCAGGTTGCAACCGAAAACCCTCACCACACTCATGTCACTTTTGTCAACACTTTTGTCAGAGTGGTCAAGGCCTCACGTTTGTGTCGAGCAACGCTCTGGACGAGCATGCGCAGTGGCTCGCCATCGCCAAAGCCGGACCGCGCTCGCTCCAGTACAAGGCCAACGTCGGACTGGGAACCGATGGAATGACACGTCATATCTACATTGCTGCGTTGCAGGTTGGCAGAGTGGCCATGCGAATGCGGCTGTCTTCCGTCCAGGTCAAGGAAGTCTTGTATGTCAAATTTAGGTCTGAGAACTTTGCCAGTGTGCGTGATGAGCTCACGTCCGCTCGGGATGGTTCACTCGGCCATTATCGCAGGGAGTACTTTCGTCGCGTTCGTGCAGCTGGCCCCTTTGGCGGCACGCTTGATTGCATCGCGGCGGCTTGCGTTTATGTTGTCTGTCGCTCGCATAGTATTCCTGCGACATTCCTCCAGCTGGCGGTAAGTGACTGCAGCATACGTGTATTGCATGCGTTTTGATACGGTGAACGCACACCCCGATCACCGGCAGGTGTAGGCCACAAACTCACTTTTTGTTTCTTCCTTTTTTTTTCTTCCTTGTTTTTTTTTTTTTTTTTTTTTTTTGGCTCCCATTTGCACGTCGCCTGGCTTCCTCGTTCATTCTCCTTTATTCCTTAGGAAGCTGCTCAGGTCAATGTCTTTACCTTGCAACGCACGTTCGGGCGACTGGTGCACCATCTCAAACTATCGCTGCCTGCCGTGAACGAAGTGGCACTCGTGGAATCTGTCGTTCAGGCTGTGCCTGAGCTTTCGCATGAAGCAGTCCCGATTCTATCTCAGGTAGCTGATGCGTTCGTTGACGATGATCCGATGGTGTCTTGGAGTTGCTCGCGCTTGCTCAATCTGGCCATCACAGTATGCAATCTGCTTGCTGGAGCTTGGCAAGCAGTCCTGGGTTTCTTCTGGGCGAAGACCGCTTCCAATCGCTCTTGCTGCAACAGACTTGGCCAACCAGATTTATGCTCAAAACGAAAATCTTCCGAGTATTCTTCCGCAGGTAGGTCTTGATTTTTTTTTTTGATTTTTTTTTTTGTTGCCGGGGTGGAGAAGGAGGGTGACGATTTGTTCATAAATCTGCCACATGGTCACTTGCCATGATGTCCAGAGACCGTACTTCTAACCACAATAACTGTTCTGACAAACTTTTCGCTTGAACAGCTCTGCGAGAAATTTGGCGTTCATATCAACACAGCTCGTGCTCGTGCTCGCGAGCTGCGACTGAATCTGCTGCAGCACGCCCAGGCTCTGCCCTGGCGGGCCAACATCACCGAACGCAATGTTGTCGCGCATGTCAAGTTGCTGGTGGAGAATCCTTCGTCGTTCACTGGTCTCCGGCCCGTGGACTGCGACGCGGAAGGCAATGCACCGACGACCCTGGCGGTTGCAGACAAGAGTGCCACGAGTAGCTCGGTTGCGAGCGGTGTGCCGCGCTCGTTTGTGTTGGCAACACGCAACTCGGAGCTGCGAATGGCCAAGCTCGAAGCGGCCAAGGCTCGTCTGGTTGCTATTCTCGCTCTCTCTACAGCGCAAACCCAGGAATTGGAAGCGAGTCTGACTGCCGATCGCGACATGCTCGATCTGCTTTTGGAGCGATTGCTCTTGCACGGTGTTGTAAGGAGTTGGGGGGGTTGTTTTGTTTTGGGTTTTTTTGTTTGTTTGTTTGTTTTCAAACTCAATCTTGTGATTGTTGTCCTTCTGTGCGCGCAATGCGTAAATCTTACAGAGCGACACAGACTTGTTGGCACGCTCAGTGTCGCAGCTACACGACATGGCCGAACGCATTGGGCAAGCAACGACAGAATTTGAGACGGACGAAACGATTACCCCTATGTCGGATGCAGATTCTGCTCTTTACATTCGATCTGCGGCAGAGGTTGGACTACGAATTCATGAATCTGCTGCTCTGTATCTTGTTGTGCCGATTGAGACTGATCGGGGTTGTTGTTGTGCAATTTTGCTAGATTTCCTTACTCAGCCAGCTGGACGCCAAGCAAAGAGCGGCAGACCCAGAGACATCACGCTCAACCAAGCGAGCACGACTCGACACAGAAGATGTCTAGTTTGTGGATGTTTGTGTGACAGTTGTGTGGTTTTTGACCAGTTTATTTTGTATGTTTGGGTTTTCATTCGAGTACATCGTGTTAGTATCTCCCAAACACTTCGCTTGTGTGTACTTGTTCGTGTTTTATCTATCAGACTGTGTATTTGTCAGGACCCGAGTTTGCGTCCGTCCAGCCGGCGAGGTTAGCCGGTGGTAGTTAATGAGGATTTAGCATATTCTGGTGTATTTGGATGCTTTTGGATAGTTGTCATTGCGCATTTTGTATCAATCAATCGACGTTACCTGGCCAATAGCTCTAAGCCCCAACCCGTGGGAATCGGAGTCTCACATAATGCGCAATCAATGAGGGCCACCTGACGTCGGTTGGATGTGATCGGTGATGGTGAGGTGGACTCTGGCACTCGGCCGCTGATGCTGTGGCGGTCGAAGGAAGTGCAGGTCCACGCGGTCTCGCGCTGCTTGGTCCGAGTCGTGTTCCAAGTAGCAGGCCTCGCGCGCGCCGCCAGCCGCGAGATGAACAAGTGTAGTCAAGTCGCCCAAGAGCGTAGACGCGTGAAGACGTCGACGCGCCTCGGGTGGAGGCGATCGTCAAGTTGCAAGATTGGAAGAAGCCATGTGGGTTTTCCACCAACGCGGTCGGTCATGGAAGGACAAGTCGGTCGAAGGAATCGCCATGCCTGGTTGGTCTCCATAACACTGGGACAAGAAGGTCCAACGGAAAGGTGCTGGAGAGCCAGAGCTGGGATTGAAGAAGGCTGTGAACATGGATACGTGCGTTTGGCTGTTGAGACGCAAGGTGCTCTTCGCATGAACAAGTTAGGCGGTCTCTACCTCTTGGGTCAAGGAACAAGCTTGTTGGTTCATATTATTTGTGTGTGTTTTGTCAGGCTGGTGTAACGATGGGGAAGTTGTAGGAAGTGTGTTTTTGGTTCTGTGCGGTGTAGCCGCAATACCGTATCCAGCACAGCGGAGGTCTGTCGGAGATGGAGTAGAGTGTCAGGACCCGAGTTTGCGTCCGTCCAGCCGGCGAGGTTAGCCGGTGGTAGTTAATGAGGATTTAGCATATTCTGGTGTATTTGGATGCTTTTGGATAGTTGTCATTGCGCATTTTGTATCAATCAATCGACGTTACCTGGCCAATAGCTCTAAGCCCCAACCCGTGGGAATCGGAGTCTCACAGTATTTCGTGCAATAAGCAGGGCAGGTCGATGAGAAGTGGTGTTTCGCAAAGTATTTTGATTGGCAGGAAACGGCTGACTGTCAACCAAGTGTTTGGCAGGTCAACATACCGCTGCTCTATCGCTGCCAGACAATATGCCCGCATCATTCGGTTATTAAACGAAGCAGAACTGCTACTGACATACCGGACTAGACAGAAATGATACACCGGTGTTGGTTGGGGCAAGACACGGCAAGCACACGAGGTTGTTGTTTTCCGAAAATTAAACACGTTAATCCAAGACAAGAAAAGATCCCAATGGAATCAAACTTGGATAGCTGACAGACAAACATATTTGACAACTCTATGTTTCAAATTTCTGAGAAGGAAATCAGAGAAAGACAGTAGAAAACGAGATCCAAAAGCAGGGGCGAAAAACAAAAACAAAACCCCCAACACGGATACCTTCATGCCTGACAAAGCGACGGATTCTTGCTCTCACTCTCACAAAGCTGCAACCAGGGTGCACCAACGACCGCATAGTGCGACATCAAATGCGCCAAGTTGCATGTGATCGGTTTGAGACGATTCCGCAACAAACCAAAAAAGCTCGAGGCACAAACAAAAATACGATTCGCGTGCTGTTCCAGGCATGCACATGACCATCAAAGAAATCTCCTTGGAGAAACAGCAAGCCACTGGTATCATCGTTTCAAGAGCAAAGCAAGCCAAAGAGAAAAAAAAAAAAAAAACGAAAAAAAGAAAAAAAATGAGCATCCAGAGTTTCGATCTCCGTACCTTGTCGGTGTTAACGACATGCTCTACCAAATGAGCTAGACGCCCTTGCTCGATGCACAAACGAGGGGCAAGAGCTTGTTTCAATCTGGATCAGACTGTGAAAAATGGCTGAACAAAACGCTGATGGCTTTTTTCTGGATCAAGAGCAACCAAACACACACAAAAAACACTCGCAAATATCGGAAAGAATTTATTCGGCAGAAGAAACATTGACGGAAAAGTGCGTGAAAATTCAAACAAAACAACAATCTGATCAATCTGAATCCTCATTCAAATCTGGAGTGCTTGGGTCGTGGGCAGGGCTTTGTGTTTGCCGGCGACCCTTTGCTTTCCGGGCAGGTTTGCGGGCGCTCGATCCCGTTTGACTGATTGCAGGAGCAGGGGGTGGAGGCGCGCTCGACGACGAGGACGACGAGGATGTGCTGGTCATCTCTGTGAGCAAAAGCATATCTCAGAGAGTTAGATCATGTGAGCGCAGAGAGCACTGACATCAAGCAACAAAGTACCTTCAATATATGGCATCAGTTTTTCGTCAACCAGCTGCTCGATAGCAGCGAGATCTTCCGCAGTGGAGGACTTGTTGTTGAGCCCTCGCGCCATGCCCATGCGTTTCAGCACCTCAATATCGTCATGGACCTCGAAGGCCTGCTTAAAATTGAAAAAGTACTCAGTTCTAGGGAAGCAAACGAGGAGGGGAGGGGGTGGAGAGAAAAGTAAATAACAACAAGAGGTGAGAACAACGACATTACAAGCCGCTCGACGAGACAAGAGACGGAGAGTTCTGACATACCGGTCCTCTTCCATCTGACAGTCAATCTCGGTGTTGCTATTCGTTGTAATCACAATGAATGGCAGCTTGAGGATTTCTGTGGTGAATGTGTGCAATTTTTGTTCTTGTGCGTCCTTGTTTCGTTGAACGAGGGTCTGGAAGGCAACTTGCTGCAAGATGATTGAGAAAGAAAAAGAGCGTGCAAATTGTGGAGCGTGTGAGTCAAGACAAGAAAGTAAAAAACATACACAAGCATCAACAAAGCGCAGCGTCGGAATTTTCAAATGTACCTGCAGAATTAACTCTTGCATGTGCTCCTTTTTGAGTTTCAATCGATGCATAAGGTCAAACTTGGTGACCTGTTCAACAATAACAATAAAAAAACATGAATGAGCAAAAAAACCTGTCGCTTCCATTGGTTCCAATTCAAAAAATGTCTGAGGTTGTTCGTACGTTGAGTTGCTCGCATTCGTGTGCTGCATTTGTTGGAAAGTTCATCCACCGGATGGATTTTTTGTCCTTGGCGATAATGTTCATCGCCATCAGCACATTCAAGGCGTCATAAACACGTCGTCGGATGTTCTTTTGATCGTAATGCTGTCAAATGTTCAGGCACAACGAGAGTGGAAGAGATGAGCCCCCCAAAGCCGCACGAAACCGCCGCCAAAAGGTTCACAAAAAACACAATCCTGAGAAAAAAACTCACCCCCTTTTCAGCAGGAGTCAAATCCACGGCCGAAGAGAGTTCGGTCACGAGCTCATCCGCAACCTGTATGCACACCACCGGACAAAGCACAGTACACAGACCATGAATGCACGGCAAAAGTGGATGAAGAACGCAAACGACGTCGCTGGCGCGCTCGTTCATACCTCGTTGTAGCTTGTGACGCCCTTTTGCTTGACTTTCTGACACACGCGCATAGAAAAGTGACGCAGACCCTTGTTTGCAGCAGCAGCGGCGGCGGCCTCCGCAGCAGCGCTGTTGGTCGAGGCAGCAAGTCCTGGAGCGGCTTGCGGAGTTGCCGCAACCATCGCGACGGCAGCAGCCGCGGCCGCAGCAGCAGCATTGGGATCCATGCGCGGCTTCTTTTTCCGCGACGACGATCCTGCCGTCGACGCAGCAGCAGCAGCAGCAGCAGCCTTGGATGGAGTTCTGTTCAAAAATCAAACAACAAAATGCGCATTGATGATCAATTGTCGGCTTTTGGGTTGGATTCACGCTTCGGCGACCTCGCGATGACGGTTTTTTGTAGTTGCAATGGGACACGGTACAGCACCTCACGACGCGAAGCCGAGCGAGACAAATGGCCAAAAGAATAGAGAGACAGAGAGCGAGAGAGAGAGAGAGAGAGAGAGAGAGAGAGAGAGAGAGAGAGAGAGAGAGAGAGAGAGAGAGAGAGAGAGAGAGAGAGAGAGAGAGAGAGAGAGACAGAGAGAAAAAAAGAAAAAGCCGAAAAACACACACAAAAAAAGGCGCCATTTTCTATGCTCGCCGCCGCACGCTGAGACAACGCCTCGGGGAGGACGACCGAGCGCAAGAGCACCAAGCAAGCGACAATAAACACATTGGGAAGGGGAAAGCGGCGGGGGGGGAAGCGGAGCGGCGAGAGAGAGCGCAACAACGTACTCGAACTGAAAGTCGTCGCTGACCAAGTCATCGCTGGGCAGCTCGTCGTAGCTGTGATCGACGGGGTCCGAGTCGAGGCCGAGCGAGCTGCTGGGGTCGTCGCTGGCGTTGTCGCTCTGAATCAGCTCGCGGCGGGTGCGCTTGCTGCGTGCTCGGGCGAGATCGGTCATAACTGAATGAGATGTTTAGGACTGAGCCCCAGCCATTACATACATGCGAACTGCATTGAGATCAGCAGCCAATCCTCAAACAATCAAGACAACATGCATTGCGACACATGAAGCACAAGCCAAGTTTCAGAGGACAGCGAAGCGATCGTTCAACAACAGTCCCAACGGTGCAACGAGATTTGCGTTCGTCCTTCCTTCCTTCGTCTCAGATTTTTCACCGCGACTGTTCCAGCTGATCTTTCATGCTTGTCATCAGGGGAAGACAGCGAAACGATCGTTCTACTGTGATTGAGCTATTGCCTTGGGGTTTTGTTGTGCTTCCGGTTTTGATTTTGTCTCAACTCACCACTGTTCCCTTGCTGCCTCCATTCCCTGTCTATCGTCCAGTTTGCTCTTTTCACTTTTGCTGTGTTTTGCTTCAGCAGTATTTGTTCTAAATCCATGTGATGTAGCGAGGCGTCTCTAATTATGAACAAGATTTTTTGAGTGGGCACCATTACGCCCCTGATTTTAATTCAGAACAAGAGTGTTTTTGAGCCACTAGTCGATGTAGAAGCCTCTAATCCGCTTCCCCGCTTGAAATTATAGTAAAACCAGTCTTATTTTATCGATGGAGGAAAGTAGGCGGGCGACAGAACTGTCCTACGAGTGTCGGTGCACCGACAGTGAGCTCTCGAGCACTCTCCCCGCATGCCTTCGTTGGTGTGCGTTATGACGACATTCAACTGTCCCATATCCTACGTTCTTTTTTCTTTGTTATTCTTAATAAAGCTTTAGACGGTGAAAAAAAAGTGTGTTGGGATAACATCCAGACAAGACAAACAACAATCATTCGCGCTTTTCAACGGTGTTGGGTCACTTGGGACCCGTGCCACGGAATGACGATGCACGAGCAACCAAGCTGGGTCATCCACGAGCTGCTTTGGAGGAAGGAAACAAATATCATGGTGGAAAGAGGCAATACTCAACGCGTAATCGAGCTGTCTTCCATGACAAGGTCGTCCGCGTACGGCCAGCCAAGCACAGCGTCTTTCGGAATCGATTGGATTGTGAAGCCCGAGTTGGGGACCCTTGCATGCTTCTCTAAGTACGTGCGCAGATCTCGGATTGTTCGAAACTGCTTCTTGGGATCCAATGACTGGGACGCATTCACCACCTCAGCGATCGCCCGAGCTTGGGCAAGTGTCGTCCCTTTGCCGTAGAATTGACTTGCGAGACGCGGAATCGAGCTCAAGTGCGGGTTGTACGCCCATACGTCTGCAGCATACCGTCATAATAATTGAGTGAGTTGGAGCTCGATTCACAGAGCAATGCTAGGATTGCAAACGTTTCTTACTATCCGCAATAAGTTCAAAGCACGCCACGAACTCCTTATATCCCTGCCGAGGCAGAATGAACGCATTTGGAGGAACATCCGAAGGATCGAATTTGTCCATCCGAGCGGTTGTCAACAGCGCCACAATGGTAGTCGACGATGGGCAATTGAGCTGCGCTTTTTCGATATATTCGATCTGTGTTGAAAGAGGCACGCAGTCCTCCACTTGGTCGAGTTTGGCTTGCAGCGCCAGCGTGGCTGGCGTATACTCGCCCTACACACGACATCCAACAAAACAAAAAGACGTGAGAACAAGCGTTAAACATCGAAAAAAAAGCTTGTGTGCCTACATTGTTATCCTTCACATAGACTGTGCACCAACTGTCGACACCGGTGTATCCTGCAGGAGTCAAGCAGACCCGGCCATCAACAGGTTGATTGCGCCGATCCGGGTTGTCCTCCGAATAGTCCCTCCATGCAGAAGCGTTAACGAAAAACTCTGGCAACCGCGAGCTGGTGCTGCCTGGAAACAGATTGGTTACTTGCACGTACTCAGAGTTGGGGTGTGCTGCAATTGCCGACAGAATTCGCAGATTTGTGATGATGGCACAAAATGCTTCCCACGATTGCCAGAGGTCGAACGCCTTGTTTGGATCCGGCCCTTGGAGCTTGTGGAGAGTCGACATCATTGCTGCCATCACCAAGTTTGCTGGGGCTGTGGTTGGTCGCTCCACCCGGGATATGTCCGGATGGAATACTGGGGCTTGTTTGCGGTAAATCAGCAACGCTTCAGACTCGAGGAAATCGCTATCATGCTGCATGATTGACCCTTGGACACCATCTCGGACAACCCGCTCAAGTGTTGCGTCATCGATGGAGACGCTGCTCCTGGTATCCAGAAATGTTGTCGGGTCAATAATGTGCAGCAGTGTACGAGGTAGCCCAGCAGCCTGGTCGATTCGAGCCATCAGCTTCGAGTTGACACGCCATGGTAGGAGGCGGGAAGACGGGGCCTTCGGATCGGCAATGTCCAGAAGCCGTGCTGCATAGACAGCACGGAGCGGCGAAAGCGGTACCGGCAGCACAAAAAACCTTGAATTCGTTACCGCTTGCTTCAGAGCACTCGACATCGTGCCAGCAACGAGCATCCACGTTGGAGTTGTGAACGATCGGCATGCAACTTGTAGATCAGTCAGCGCTTGTTTCCAGAAGCGACGGTTCGCTTGTTCAAGGGACAACCCCGCATGATCGGGTTCTTGGAATTGTGGCGCAACATGCGCTCCAACGAGACGAGTCGCCCCGTCCATTGCAATAAAGATGTGCAAACGTTGCTCAAGAACCTGTTGTCGTCGGGCCTCTGTCCGGCGGATGAGGCTCAAGGCAGCGTTCACAGAAATGTCGCGGTTGGTGGTAATTTCTGCCCCACCATAATAGCTCTGAAGCAACCGCCTTGCAATGGCATGCTGAGGGTGACGTGCGGACTCCTCGTAGCTCCTCCATGTGCTCGCGGCATCGGAATTGAAGTTCAAGAATAGGCACAGGGATGGGATGTGACGTTGCGAGCAGAATGCTGGGACGATCCGATCCATCACCTCCAAGCACATACGGGTCTTCCCACAGCCGGGAAGCGCCGCAAGAAGTGCGATTGGATACCTCGAGCGTTCAGTACTGCGCTCGCGGACAGCCTCGATGAAGCGTTCCAGAGCTGCGGTAATGGATGCTTCTGTTTCCGACCGATCGAGCAAACTGTCGATGGAGTGGCGTGCCCGCGTCTGTCGACATCAGACAATTGTGAGCGAGCCAGCAAAGTCGTGAGCACATGCGTCAAGCCATGGACAGTCAACATGCAGACCACTCCACGTACGATCGTGAGTTGTGGATCAGGCACTCGTGCCTCAGCCCCGGGAAGAGTCGCGAGAAGGGTCGCAAGATCATCAGGCGAGGTGATGAGCTCTACCATGCCAAACCGGTCAGCGAAAACAAACACACACACACACACACACACACACACACACACACACACACACACACACACACACACACACACACACACACACACACACACACACACACACACACACACACACACACACACACACACACATACATACCATTGCGACTGGGCAGAATAGGAGACAGCCAAGCTCTCGTCGAAACCGGCTGGGTATCGTTGCCCTCATCGTCGTCCTCATCGTTGCTTTGCTGTTGAGAGCAAAAAATGCAAGGTTAGAATAATGTTTGCCATCGTCACAGACTATCAAAGCATGGCACCACTGTTGTGAAAAATTTCAAGCACATAAGGTCGGCAAAAGAAAAAAAAAAAACAACAAACAAAATGGCGCGCAACTGCCGAGACACCAGGAAGAGCAAAGTTTGCTCACCCCTCACGACTCTCACCACTCTCGCCACTCTTCGGCACCACAGAACCAGTTCGTTCAAAGAGTTCGTGGAGAAGACGAGAGGGGTACACCAAAACAGGTCTCGGCCAACGTACGGTTCTGCCACGCTTATCGACATGACCTCCAGGAGAGTTCGCTGCTTGACGCTTTGAAGCAGCCGAAGAAGAGGCCACCAAGGCGGGCTTGGAACCGGCCGAACTCATCGCCAAAACTGAAAAAACAAACAAACAAAAAAAAAAACAGACTGATTCAACCGACAGGTCAAAGTGATTTTTTGGTTTTCGACATCATTTCGTTTATGGTGAGTTTGGTTCTTTCATGAAGCTTCATCATGGCAGAAGACGTTGTGTGAAGATGCTATCTTGCGTTTTGCTTTTGTTTTTGCCAAAAAGACACCTTCTTCGTCTTGAGCAACTGAGCTGCACCCGCCGGACGCCAACCACATCAGCAGGTTAGTCTAACAGCTCAAGCACTGCAGCTGGTCCGAGACGGCAGAAAAGCAACCGCTATGGGTGTGAGCGGCCACTCTGGTCTGATCCAACGCAAATTCCCGGCAAAACCCAACGCAGCACCTTGGAGTCAACTTCCGCGACCGATCGGTTTACCAGGCGATTACACCGTGTTCTGAAAGTCTACCGTCAAAGTTAGCGCGCACGAACGATGCTAGACTCGGAGAAACGGCGGATGTAGCGTTTTGGCTGCAAAAGCAAGCTTTGGCTCACTTCTGGGTGGAAACATGAATTCTTGTTCCGCCGACCAGGTGGCCAGGTAGTCATCAACGAGGTACACCTGCTGATATGCGGAAATCCGGATACGGAGCTGCCGTTGCCGCACAAACGGGAGGCATGGCCGAAACCAAGCCAAATCCACACTTTTAGCATCTCGGCCCCATCGATAGCCATTTTTCCGCCGATTCGATTTACTGCATTCTCACATCCAGGTAGTAGCGGAACTTGAGTGAAATGACCGATCGGACTGGGTGTGTGGCTCAGGCAAACACCAACTCTCAAAACCCCCCTTTTTTCATCGATCGATCTACCCCTGTTCCAGGTCGGTAAAATCCAAACCTTGGACCCTCGTCGATAGCCAACGATGTTTCAGTCACAGCATAACTCGCAAAATCGGGGCACTCGATGATGCATGGCGACGGGAGGTGTTCAAAGTTGCGTTGAGCCCAAATCTTAAAGTTTGGCCTGCATCTCCCACATGCGACTTTTGGCACCAGAGCTACAGTGTCCCCTAGGCTGACTTTGAACGGCGAATCTAATGGTGCAATCCGCATGTGGATAGCTCTCTCCTACGCGACTGTGGACATGACTGTTTCGAGGGGTTTTCGCGAAGTTGTCGAGGGTCGAAATCTTCTGCTGCACTTCCGGCCAGTTTTAAGAGCGCAAACAAGTCTACTCGATCAAACACCTTGCCATGCCAAAGAAGAAGGCGGTGGCTAGCTTGGTTGACGCGAGACACTCATCTTCGCGCCGACCTCTCCAACCTTCACATCACTCGTTCCCGACCTCCCCTCGTCCGTTCGCCTCCGCTCCAACTCGATAATACTCGTATTGTATTGTCAATCATCCCCGCGAATTGTTGGAATTAGGAAAAAATTATTTCCCAAAAGAAAAACCACTTGCAGTTTTTGTGGTGTTTTTTTTTTTTTTTTTTTTTAACTTTTGGCTCGGGTCTCAATAGAGAATGACTGGCTTTGGTGGCGCGCGGTGGTTGGCTCCGCGGCTTGGCGCACTGGTGCTCTGCGTGCTGCTCGCCGTCCACGCCCAGCACGCGGCTGCGAACAGCAACGACAGCCTCGAGTCCATCCTCGAACGTGCCAAGGCCGCGACCATCGCTGGCAACTACCCAGAGGCCCTCGAGCACTACAACACTGCCGTTGGTGAGTTTGGCTGCTGCTCAGCTTTGGAGCCCGTCAACATCCCTTCACCAGCTGCGCGACATTTCGCCTTTCATGCTGGTTTTTTGCCTCCAGTTTGTTGGTGGGGCTGGTTGCGGATGCGGCTGACGGGGGGACGGACAGAGAAGTGGGTGATCGACCGAACCCGTACATCTTGCTTGACACTGACAGCGAGGCTGATGGTCAACGATGGTCAAAGACGGACTATTGATCGTGTCTGTGGTCCTCGTCGTATATTCAGTGGGCGGATGGGGCACAGAGGATGCAGAACGGTCCTTCCTTCAGCCATGTTGTGCTTACACCGATCTGCTCAGACACGGAACTTGATCATTTAGCTGGAGTTGAATTGTTGAAGATTTGTCTTCATCGTACTAAAATCTTGATCGGCTTGTTGGTGTGACTCGACAGCCGCCGACCCAAGCAGCTACGTGACCTTGTTCAAGCGCGCGACCGTCCTCTCGGCGCTCGGCCGCACACGACACGCCGTCGCTGATTTCGACACTGTGCTTGGCCTCAAGCCTGACTTTAACCAAGCGCGATCGCAGCGTGCGGCGCTTCTTCTCAAGCAGGGCAAGGCCGATCTCGCTCGCGCTGATTTTGGCGAATTGACAAAGATTGATCCCAACGACCAGCACGCTCGTGCACAAGTACGTTCAAGTGTCTCTGTTGTGTGTGTTTGTGCAAGCCTGCTATCATCACTTGATGATGGAGATGCGATTGTTGGGGCGAAGAGTCTGATGGTTGTTTTTCTTGGTTGTGCTTAGTTGGCGGCTGTTGACACCTACCTCGCTCAAGCCAAGGCAGGCTCCGAAGCGCTGAAGCGGCATGATTTCGCGGCTGCTCTGGGCCATTTGACTGCTGCGATTGATATTGCTCCGATGAACGAGGAGCTTCGTCGCCTTCGCGCAGACGCCTACATTGGCGCAGGCGACATTCAAAGCGCCATCGGCGACGTCACGTATGTAGTTTCGAGTGTGTGTGCGTGTGTGTGGAAGGCCGAGCTCGGTTGGGTGGTTGAGGTCGAGGCTAACTTGGATTTGCTTGTGCTTGTCTTATTGTTCTGCTCTACAGTCGTTCGGCTAAACTATCAAATGACAATTCTGAGGCCTTTTTCTTGCTGTCCAAGCTGTATTACCAAACTGGCGATCTTGAGCAAGCTCTAAAGTATGTGGAATTGGCGTTAAATTGGTGAATTATCAATCTGTTGTTTGCCCCCAAGTTGACATCTGCTACCTCGCCACTCATTTGATACCTTGATTCATCACACTCGACAGACAAGTGCGAGAGTGCTTGAAGCTTGACGCCGAGCACAAGTCTTGCCATCCGCTGTACAAGGTTTGGTTTCGTCAAAGTTGCTGCAGGCAGCATTCTGCGCTACCGCCAACATCAGTGTGGTTCACGATATCTATTTTGGTAGAAACTCCGCATGCTTGACAAGCACCTGCAAGCTGCCGACCAAGCTACCAAGCAGAGCAACTTTGAACAGGCAATTACCAAGCTGGACGCGGCCGCTGCTGTGGACCAATCCATGGTCATCTTTCAAGTTCGCATCTTGGCTGACAAGTGCCGATGCTATCTTCGGGTGTGTATCGCGCTGTTCGACTTGTTGTATTTCGTTAGGGGTTGTTCGTTTGGCTGAGCTTTCTGTTTTATTTTTTATTTTGTTTTATTTTTGGTCGTCAACTAGTTACGCAAACCCAAGGAGGTTGTAACTACTTGCGCCCAAGTACTTGCTCTGGACGCCAACCATTTCACTGCTCTGGTTGACACTGCCGAGGCGTACCTGCTCCTCGAGCGCTACGAAGATGGTGAGTGTCTGCCATCGAAACCAATGCTTGGCAAGAAGTTTGCGGTGCATGTCTGATTTTGATTTTATTATTGCTTGTCTGCAGCCGTCAACACGTACCAGCGAGCAAAATCGGCTCATGGCGACAACCAAGAGATTGTGCAGGGCCTCGACCGCGCGCAAAAGCTCCTCAAGCAAGCAAACACGCGTGACTACTACAAGATTCTGAGTGTTGCTCGCAACGCCGACAAGAAGGACATTATCAAGGCCTATCGCCGGGAAGCAATGATCTGGCATCCCGACAAGTACGACGGCGAAGAGAAGGTGGCCGCCGAAAAGCGATTTATTGACATTGCCGCCGCCAAAGAGGTCTTGACTGACGATGGTAAGCCAATCTCTCTCTGTCTCTCTCTCTCTCCTTCTCTTTCTCTTTGGATTTCTCAACCCCCTGAGCTGGGTAGCCTGTTGAACAACATCTCACATTGCTCCGATCGATCGTTGACTTGGTGTTTTGTTGAACAGAAAAACGTAAAATGTACGATTCGGGGAACGACCCGCTGGATCCCGAAGTCCAGCGCCAGCAGCAACAACAAGGGTTCCACCACGGCGGCTTCAATCCCTTCGGCGGCCAGCAGTTCCACCAGCAGCGTTCAGGCGGCAACCCGTTCAACTTCAACTTCCATTTCTGAGTTTTTTTGTTTTTTTGATGGGGTTTTGGTGTTTGTTTTCGTCCTCCTGCAGCTGTCCTTGTGTTCTTGTTGTTGGGATGTCTTCACCCACCCCCCCATTTTGTATTTCACTATTCTATCCACCTCCCTTCTTCCGTTCCGTTCGTTTGCACTCTTTCATTTGATTCCATTTTTTTTTTTTTCGCACCATGACTGATTCGGCTGTTTCTGCTGCAGCAGCGAGCCCTGCCACCAACGTCCGTTCCCTCCCATCAAAGCCCTCCCCCCTCGCCTCGCCTCGCCTCGCCTCTTCTAAATCTCCGCTCATTTTTACTGTCTTGCGTGTTCTCTGTCTCTCTCTCTCTCTCTCCCCCGTTCGCTGTCCCTTCTCGACTCTCGGAAGGATAGTCCGAAGTCAACCTGAATGGTCACGGTTTTCGGTTCTTTTTTTTTATTTTTATCTCCTTCTCTTTTGCTCGCTCTCTCTCTCTCTCTCTCGCTCTCTCTTTCTCGCTTTGTGCTCGTCAGTCACTCTTGAGAATCAGAGACCAAGATGCTCACAAAAGACCCGGTTCAGAGTGAGTGAGTGAGAATGAGTGAGTGAGAAGTGAGAGCGGCGCTTTTTTATCTCATTGCTCTCTCTGCGCAATCAGCCGCGCAACCACGAGTCTCACACTCATCACACTCATCACACTCATCACACTCATCACACTCATCACACTCATCACACTCATACTGCTTGACTTCATTTTTGAGCTGAATCGCTGGGCTTGTGTGGACTCACTGTGGGGCTCAACTCTGAACACACACATACACACAGTCCTACCGCCCCGATGCAGCGCCCAAGGACACATCCGTCCTCTTTGCCGTCGAGGAGAAGGTTGGCGCGCTCCAAGACATTCTCGGATTCTTCTCTGTAAGCCGAAAAAGCACGCACTCATTCACTCGCAAATGAACAGAACCAGCGAAGCGACAAACCTGATTGAGAACGAGTTGATCTTCGTCTTACACTGACAACAATCGTGGCTGTGCAGACCAACAACATTTCGCTCAAGCACATCGAGTCACGCCCCTCGAAAAGCGAAGGCCAGTACGACTTTTTCGTCACGATTGACGGTAAGACAGCATTCACTTTTTTTCGTTTCGTCGTTCGTTTGTGTTTGATGCTCAAATGTGGAAAACTCACTCAATCATTCCCTCCTGTTGATTCACTCGACATCAATGCACACATTCTATAGCCAAATACGCCGACCAGCTCGCAGTCGTGCTCCCCCAGCTGAAGGGCATTGTCAACAACTGCCAGCTGTTCAACAGCGAGCTGTCCGCAGCGAACGCCCCGTGGTTCCCGCGCAAGATTAGCGACTTGGACATGTACGCCAACACCATCCTGTCGTACGGCGCCGAGCTCGAATCAGACCATCCTGGCTTCTCCGACCCCGTCTACCGCGAGCGCCGCGCCATGCTTGCCGATCTCGCGATCAAGTACCGCCACGGCCAGAAGCTGCCGCACGTCAACTACACTCCCGAGGAGGTCGCCACCTGGGGCCGCGTGCTGACTGAGCTGACCAAGCTCTACCCGCAGTACGCCTGCAAGGAGCACTGCCGTGTCTTCCCGCTGCTGATTGACAACTGCGGCTACCGCCCAGACAACGTTCCCCAGCTGGAGGTCGTCAGCAACTTCCTCAAGGACTGCACTGGCTTCCGGCTGCGCCCCGTGGCTGGTCTGCTGTCCTCGCGCGACTTCCTCAACGGCCTCGCATTCCGCGTCTTCCACTCTACACAGTACATTCGCCACCACACGGCACCTCTGTACACCCCCGAGCCCGACGTGTGCCACGAGCTCCTCGGCCACGTCCCGCTGTTCGCCGATCCTTCCTTTGCCGATTTCTCGCAGGAGATTGGTCTTGCCTCCCTCGGCGCATCCGACGAAGACATTGAGAAGCTCGCCACTTGCTACTGGTTTACAATCGAGTTTGGTCTTTGCCGACAAGACGGCAAGGTCAAGGCGTACGGTGCCGGTCTGCTCTCCTCGTTCGGCGAGCTCGAGTACTCTGTCAGCGACAAGCCCGAGCACCGCCCGTTCGATCCCCCGAAGACTGCCGAGCAAAAGTACCCCATCACCGAGTACCAGCCCGTTTACTTTGTTGCCGACAGCTTTGACGATGCCAAGGATAAGTTGCGGTGAGTAGCGTAGTGGTTTTAAGGTTTGCACATTGTCATTGTTGTTGTTTTCGTTGACCTGACTCT